AACCTGCTTTCTGCTGTTCCAGTGGCCTTCTGAAAATCAGCCTCAGCTTTTGTCAAGCCGCTACCATGTGTTCACCGCACATTGGTTGCACATGCTGTGACTTTGATCTATAAATGAGTGGGAACAAGAAAAAAATAAGAATCAAAGGGAACGTGTTTTTTTGTTGTTGTTTGAATTGGAAAATACCAGAAATGAAGAATTAATTCCCCCCTTTGTTTTTCTGGTTTCACCACGTGTGCCAGTTTATCAGGATTCAGGATTATTACTCTCTCACTAACCTGCAACTGCAACATTATTTTAAAATCTGTTCTTGTCACTTGACCACTTTTGTCATCCTCAGACTCCCATGAACCAGGCGTCCACTCGTTCCCACTGTATATTCACTGTGCACCTATGCAGGCGTGAACCTGGTTCAGCCACCCTGCGGCGATCCAAGCTCCACCTGGTGGATCTGGCAGGATCGGACCGAGTTAGTAAGACTGGTTTAAACGGGCAGCTGCTCACCGATGCAAAGTATATCAACCTCTCTCTCCATTACCTGGAACAGGTAGGCTTTTTTTTCTTTGTTATATAGTAATACAGATTAGAATTAAAAAAAAAAACATGTTTAGTGTAAAGATATAATCTATCAGTTGGTTTAATGTTTGTTTTCTTGTTACTGATACCAAACAGAAATTTAGCTCTTTCCCCAAGGACTTCAGTTGCTTCATTTGTACTACTCCCTGTGAGTTAATAACATTGACTGGATAAAAAAAGATGGAAATAGCCACTGTGTTTATCCCTGGGGATTTTGCAGAGTACTGCAAAACTAGTAGAGAAATAAATTACTTTCTACATCGAGTAAATAAGTAGTGTAGAATATTGCTTTTTTAAAGAGTAACAATTGATGTACAATTCATTACATTGTTGAGAATGGAGGCAGTTTGGTTAGCAAACTACATTCATAAACTGAACAGATGCAATGCGCAGACACACATATTGAGTAACAGGTAACAAATAAAGGACTAATAAAATGGTTGAATTTTACTCACTAAACTGAAGCATTGACTGCTTGGATGCTCTATACCACAGATAAGCCATTGAAAATGCTCCAAATGGCATCACACACACACACACACACACACACTGTGAAAAGATGCAGTTTAATGGCCAACCTAATGGATGAAGGCTGGCTGACTGTGTCAGCACACCTATCTCAGTTATCCATGTTAAGCAGTTATAAATAATATTCACTTGCAAATGTTAAAACGTATCCATAGAGGTCAAAAAAGAGGCCAGGCTTTAAATAGGCTCTTTAATGCTGTAAAGTTGGAAATCTTAACATGAAAGTCTAAAGGGATTTTGGAGCCAGCTTCAAGTGGCCATTAGAAAAACTGCAATTTTTGCCACTTCATCAGTGGCTTAATTTTTAAGCTTTTTAAGCCCATTGGTAATAAACCCAACAATGCTACTCAACACATGACTCTTACCCTTTTTCTGTGTATGTAGTCTTTTAGTTTCTGGGGGGGGGTTAATGGCCCATATTTGTAGGATTTGGGCGTGGACATTTCCAGTCTACATATTAAAAAGCTAAACTGTTGGCTGAGAATGCCCGATTTTTGTTTTCAAGATTTTTGTTTTGCAGTTCGTCCCTCGTCGGCTCTTCATACAGATGTATATCTGATTGGCCAGTAGAATTCTGTAAGCAGCGTACAGATAGAAAGGTCTCATGTAGTGAAGATGTGATTAACACTGTAGAAATAATGCAAAAATAATGGCAGCCTTTTGAATCATGAGCCGTGTGCCGACTTTTCCCTGGTTTGCATGGTATTTCTCAGTCATGTCAGCACTTTTCTCTTCCTCAGGTCATCATAGCACTGTCAGAGAAGAATCGTTCCCATATTCCCTACAGAAACTCCATGTTAACATCTGTTCTGAGGGACAGTCTTGGGGGCAACTGCATGACCACCATGATTGCCACTATGGCAGTTGAGAGAAGGAACCTCGAGGTAAGCATGGTTACAATGAGGACATGTTCAGACACAAGTCTCTTAGATTCCCTTAAAAAACAATACTTTATTGTAGTTTTAGGACACTACTTTTGTCGGTGGGCTTCGTAGAGAAACTGTTGTTACCTTTGTTGAGTCTCTGCATGCATTCCTTTGAGGAAATGTACAGTATCACATGATTACTAAATTATGGTGTAATCAGGGGTATTCATTTTCCCCCTCCTATTGACAGATCAGATCACTGACAGATTTTTCAAACTATTTTCCTCAGGAGTCCATCTCGACGTGTCGCTTCGCACAACGTGTGGCTGTCATCAAGAACGAGGCGATACTGAACGAAGAACTGGATCCTGCGCTGGTGAGACAATCAGACGCTCGCGCTGCTTCGCCAGGCCCTCGGAATTCTGACGCTGAGCTGCACAATCACACCACAGATCCATGACTTAATGTGCCGTTTTATTTTGGCCAGACCCTCCCTTAAGCTTCCAGACCTTAAATTGATCGGCAAATGAACGGCAGTGAGAATCCAGTTTCTAAACTAAGTGTAACCCACCATGTGCTTAAGTGTCCTCTTTGGGTTTACAGCACCAAGTTAGTTTTTCCATTGTGACACAGTCAGTCTGAAAGAAGCCGTTTTCCACCCTCAACATGTGGACGCCCGTCCATCTTGTGATATTTAGACTGCTCACACGTCCTGTTTGCAATCTCTCTCTGTCTTGTTTACATGCCTCCAATTCTGTTATGGCATATTCTCTCCCAATAATTCCCAGCCTCTTGAGAAAATATTCAGCTGGTGTATACATATGTCCTTCACACAGTCATGCAAGGAAGCAGAAATTACACATTGCACTCCTCACTGAGTAGTGTTTCCCCAGATGTAGTTATGAGGAGACATTTTTTTTAAACCAAGAGTGGGTAGTCGGCTGAACATCATTATTTTTATTTGGTATCTATATATTTGGGATTAACTAATAATACTTTTTCAGGGGTGGTACTGGTAATTATTAATTTAGCAAGGAATAAGCAATACCTCAGGAAGTTTTGAATAAATTCTGATTAAAACTTATAGGGGTGTAGAGTGGCAGCCCGTTCTCACTCCCGAGGCATTATATACTGACGATTTGTCAAGTCCCGCGGCGTTCCTGAGGAACGTGAAAGGTGACCGTCCGCGTTCTTATGCTACATGCCGGGTTATGGATGAAATCTAGTAGAATGACAGTCCCGTGGTAATACACAATCCAGCTATGTATTTCAGCCCTCACCCTAACCTCATCCCTAAAATACACTCATCAATCACATACCTGATAACAGTTCATTTAATTTACTTATAATAACAAAGCCTACAGGGGATATAAACTCTACACAAATAAGTAGCAACACAGGACAAAAACTAACAAAAAAACAGGGCTCATCAGGAGGAGATGAGTGCCTTACAGTGGACCATGCTCCGCCAAGGGAAGAGCAATTCCCAGAACTTTTTCCGGGGAGATGGACAGTGCCCTTCCTGTCTCCGGCTGGAGACAGGCTCAGAGTTCACTTCTTAACCAGCGCTTTAATGACGTTAGATAGTGTTTTCCAAAGCGATTTAAGTAAAATGAACGTACATGCGTAGATTCATTCCAAACGGTTCTCATGTTTCCTCATTTTTCCGATCTCGTAATGTAGGGACGTGTTGGGTGCCCGGAAGCGTAATATATTGACGATTTGTCACCTAGCGTAAAATGTTACGCTTTGGGAGTGAGAACGTGTTGAGAGTGGGGTCATGTTAACAATCCATTGAAATTTGCCTTTCATCCACTGAGGTCTTCAAGGTCAACTTAATGATTTATTGGTTTAAAACTGACAAAAAGCATAATAAGCTAGAAACTATGATTCTTACAAGTAATATTCATATTCATTTCATATTTGACCCCTGACCTCTCTTTCAAGGTCACTAGATGATCCCAAGGTCAAAATGATGACAATGCTGTATAGACCTATTTTCTTACTGTCATTTTTTGTATTGACAACATATGGAAAGGTAAAGACAAAGATATATGACAATTCAAAATATCACATTACTTTGGATCACTGACCTCTTCAAGGTCAAATAAGGTCAAACTTTCTTAAAATGTCTTTTATCTTTAAAGCTTTGCTTAAAATTCTACTGCCTTTGTTTTTGTAGGAGATGGTGCTGGCAGATGGGGATTCTATTTATCACGTTATAATTTGCATCAAACTATCACATTTCACATGTGCCTTTCTTTTAAATTGATCCCAAAATACCTTTGAAGAAAGAAGTCAAGTGAAAACAATTGAGCTATCTACTTAGTTAGAAATACATTGTCGCATAATATTGTATAAAAAGCTTGCAGTTAACAGTGCGGTTAATAGTCATGTCATTATCAGTACAAACGTGTGTTTAAAAAAAGCAATGAAAACAACATGAATATATAGAAAATACAATACTACTGTCACGTCCGCAGTGGCAGACGTGTGGAGGTGGAGAATTAGGACCCAAGATGCAGGCAGCTGAGATGCAAGTGAGTTTATTCATAAGGTGGTGATACAAACAGAAACAGCGAAGGTGTGGACAGAAACTAAGCAAAACCTAAACTGGAAAAAACTAACAAAACGCAGAACTGAAACCTGAACGGAAATGCAGGGAGACGCGGGGAGATGACACAGAATGATGCAGGAAAAAACACAGACAAATCAGCAACGAGCACATGAGGAGACACACTATAAATCAGGGGTCCCCAATCCCAGTCCACGAGGGCCGGTGTCCCTGCAGGTTTTAGATGTGTCCTTGATCCATCACAGTTGATTTAAATGGATAAATTACCTTCTCAACATGTTTTGTAATTCTCCAGAGGCCTGGTAATGAACTAATCATATGATTCAGGTGTGTTGACCCAGGGTGAAATGTAAAACCTGCAGGGACACCGGCCCTCGTGGACTGGGATTGGGGACACCTGCTATAAATACACAGGCAAGAACATGAGGGTACGAGGAACAGGTGGGAACACAGCCGGAAGAAATTAGACCTAAGGAGACACGAGGAAACGCAAAGTCAACGCACTGACATAAGACACGGACCTTCACAATAAAACAAGAAATACACCTGGCTCAAGGGCACAGACTTGAAACTACACAGAGGGGACAGAAAACAGGGACCTGAGAACTAGAAATACAAAACAAACCATCAACCTATCAGTCAAAACCTAGAAGAAAACAAAGCTCAATGATAACACAAAAAACCAAAATGCTGGATCACAACCCAGGATCATAACAACTATTAGCTTAAAAGGTAATGCAGCCTAGAGACTGCTTTGAGCTCTTGGGGGCTTTTTTGTTGTTATTTCATTCACTAATAATAGGAAATCACATAATCACAGCCAGGTTAACCTCTGGCACGATGCCCCTCCTTCACTATTTGTGGTAAACTATATAACACTGTTCTTAACAAAGCTACTCTTTGCCTCACAGAAATAATTAATTTAAATTCTCAAAAACAGTAACAAAATAGTAATTCTAGTTATACTAGATACTTTGGAATACCTGTCACACCTTCCACTGTTGCAGTTTGCAAACCTGGTAGTTGTTAAAAAGGCCTAATGGGCAGATATATGGTAGCGAGTCATCACTCCTGTATATACTTCCTCTGCTCCCAACCTATCGACAGCTACTGTATTACTGCTGCTGCTAAGACTTGGCTGGCCACTTGCAAACCCCACAGAGGTATTTTTAAGAGAGTCTGCGGCTGGCTCAGTAATTGTGACAGTGTCTGGCTGCTCCCAGTCGGGTCCGGCACAGTTACAGCTCCAGGCAAACCCAACCTCTGTGGGCAAACCTCTTGTCTCTGTTTATGGATTTTTAGTGTATTTCTCATTTTATGTTCATTGCTTCTGTCTCATCTATCTCTCGGCCCAGTTTACTGAGGAAAATGCAAAGCAAGCAGCAGCGCAGCATGCAGAATAGAGTGATGTCATTTATTGTGGTTTGGGGGACACACATTGACTCCAATTTTTGGCCTGCCCCGTCTGAAGGCGCACTGTGTCTTGGAGTCGCTGGCTTTGGTGATTTAAAACCTGAAGTTTGCTTTTCACAATGATTTGTCTGGTCCTGGTCCTATACTGTAGCCTGCAGGCTTCAAATCCTGAGGAGCAGGAAACCAGCCAGACCAGACAAAACACTGAACACGTCTCTCACTGACAGGCAAAGAATGAGGTGTTGAAAGTGACCTGTGATGATGATTAAGTCAGCCACAGTGGCCGCACCATATAAGGCTGCATCGGTTAGTTCCTCTAAGAGCACTGATGTTGGCGTTAATCCTTCATTTAGACCCGGCTGATCCCAATCTGCATTCATCAGTGGAGATTGTCAGCAGCTATTGTAACAGTCACATCGCACTGATGCATTTATGTGTTAATACTCCCATTATTTATATTTCTTTAATTCTTAAAAGGGTTAAAAATGTTGGCTTGAGGTTATGCATTTGTGCAGAGGTTAACTTAGGGGCCCTCTTAAACTTAAAGCCAGTATTCACAAAAACGCAAACAACATCCAGCTTTAAAAGACAGCTCTGATTAGCGCATACCTGTGACTCCAACAGACGCCTGCTTATCACCATCCAGAGAGACATGTTCAGGAAGCTAGTGTGAAAATCCTTGCGTGGGGTTTTTAATCCTGGGTCATTAATCTGTCCTTTTATCAACCGTTGAGACAGGTGGTGATGCAATGGTGTGCGGGATATTTTACTGGGACACCTTGGGCCTCTTAATCCTTTGTTTAAATGTCACGGCATTTAAAGACTATTGGTTGGAGACCATGCACATCCCCAGATACGGTCAACTGACCATTTTGGGGAATTTTGCATTAAGTTCACTGTACTAAAAGGGCCTCTAACGTCTTAAGATCCAATAGAGCATCTTTAGAATGTAGTGTAATGAGACATTATCAATTGTAACTGCTCATTCATAGTTTTTTCAAGCTGTGTCACTAGTTTTCTGCTGTTATTTTGGATAAAAAATAAGATGATTAAAACTAGAATTAATATCTCTTAAAACGGCCCCAATACCTTTCATTCTTTAATTAAATGTCACTACAGCTATGTCTTTGTACCCCAAGTTGGTGCTTTAGTAGTATACCCCTTGGGTTACTCGTACTCCTGCTTGGGAATCACTGGTTCAGTGCAGTGCTTCTTGTTTTAGTCTGTAATACCAAAGTAGTGCCATATGACACAAGAAATTCAGCCCATGTGTTCGCATTTTGTTGTGGAGGATGAAAACCTAGCACACAGTTAGTTGTAATGGGAAATTTTGCCTAATCTTCCTTTATAAAAGAGGCCCCATAATAGCAGCATGTTTGTGAGTGGCATACTGCGTAACGCTGCACATATACATTTTTAAGGTGTAACCTGTGGTTATATTGCGGGTTATACTGCAGTGCTTACACTTTAGTGTGGGTGGTTATGTGCACAGGATAGAGGGTATGTTTTCAAGAAGAGGAGGTATAATTTAAAGTTAGGCCTGTTTAATGTTTCAAAGTTAATTGTGTTTGTCAGTGCATAGACTGTGACAGACATAAAGGTAGAGAGAAAGAGGGAAAATGAACATCTGGATGTTTCTTCTATCATCAGATTTGTGTTGTTGGGTTTCCATAGGGTTTGCTGACATCATCAGTCACATGGTTTGAGTCCGTTTTTATTCAGAGCCTGCCCTGAAACTGTGGTGCCAGTGTGGGCTTGGCGCTCTGAAATAGACTGCGCAATTCTGCTGACCAACAACTGGTGGGCAGCTTTTGGGGATGCAGCTGGAAGAATTACATCAGACCACGAGCTCCAAAAAGGAGATACAGGGAGCGGCTCTGGTGAAGAGTGGTCAGATGTGGTGTTTGGTGTTAAAGCATACAATAAATACAGGGACGGGATGATGTGGGGTGATCGAGGTTGAAACAGCAAAGTCACGCCTTTCCAAAAACACACAACAGATCTGTTTCTTTTCAGAAGCGTCTCAAGTTGTGTTCGAGTGTCTGGCTGCTTTGGCTTTTCAGTTTGAGGTTGACACTCAGTCTGACCTTTGTCCTTGATTTAATTCTCACTGACCTTTAACTCTTTAGCAGTTCTGTGTCAGGAGTGGCACTGACTAACACTTGCACACAGTCGCTAATTTCTATTCCCTTTGCTCTTTGCTGTTGAGATATTTAAGTAGGATTTACCCTTAAGTAAGGGGGTTTTAGCAAAAAGAACAATGGCCACTTGTGTTTTTAGAGGGTTTAGTGTGTTGTTTCATTTGGGGATTTATGTAAAATTTTTATTACAGTGGGTTTGGCTTCATTTCAGTAATTTCATGATCCATTGACTTTGACTATTTTCCCCACCATTAACATGTAATTGCATGTCTCTGTTTTTCTCTTTTGGGACTGTTTCCTCTTTTTGAACAGATTTCGAGTGTTTAAATACCAAGTTATTGAGCCAGTCATTCACAATGTTTTTGCTGTCCGGATCTACATTTTCATTTTACCATAGCACTTTACGTTAGGTCGTGGCACATGAGAATTGGACTCACCTCTGACCTCTTGCTCATCATCCTTCAACCTGGTTATTTTTTCCTTCCCACTGTCCCCAAGTGCTGCTCATAGGAAATCACCTGATTAGTGTTCTTCTCTCTGTTTAATATTGTACTGCCTATGCACAATGTAACTGTTGTGGTGAATTGGTCCCATGTCATTGCATTATTACACATCTGCAAAGTAGAGGTTCTTTTTTTACTTTTATAGAGAAACACGGTCATAATGGATAAAAAATGAATTTGCTGCTGATCAAAGTATCACAGAGTCAAATGTTTATCTATCTTTTGGTGTTAAGATGATGCAAGCATGCAGTAAAATCTTTTGTAAGTTGTAACAATTTGTTCTCTTTCTGCACACAAATCTTTTCCTCATGTGGAGCCAATTCCCTGATCAGTCTGACACTTTAAGGATAAGAAGCACATTTCCTGTTTAAAATGTTTTTGTGGGTGATTGGCAGTATTAGTTCAGAGGACCTTAAACGATTAACCAAATCATGTCTCATCATACCATTATCCCCAGTATCACCAGAGTCACTGGTATCTCGCGTTTTAGTGAATTAATCAGAGTTAATAGAGCATTAACACATTCATGAAACCAAGCTGAACTGACACTGTCCCATGAGATGAGCAGTGTCCAAATCTGTGATCACTGACTGACTAATCCTTTACGTGTTAGGTAGCCAGATGGCAGTTAATCCTCTGCTAGACTGACACGAGGCTGCTTAGACTGACCTCTTTAGGCATAGAGCCTTTCAAAAGAGGCAGACTTATCTCCAGAGAGTAAAGGTTGTGGTGGTGAATTCACTTTTATCTTTTGTTATTGAGCCTCTTTAATCAAAAAAATCTCTCTAGGAGCCTTGGTTCTCAGTGATAAACAAGCATACTGCTGTCAGTGTAAATCACTCGAACGAGGCTTCTTGCTCTAGATAAAAACACCTTTTTTGATCAGTAGTGTTTCTCAGGCTTATGATTTTTTAAACATTAATATAAATTCTTCTTGTAACTATTTTTTTTCCCAAACCTGGCTGTCTAAGTACTTATTTAAGAATCCGTGTCTGGGCTTGGTGTCATACTTTTCTTTTTATACGTATATATAGAGTAACCAGACCCGGACAGTCAGCAGCCTGTTGGCTTGCTGAGTCCTTACCAAACACGTGTGGAGAGACAGCCACCGTTGAGGTTTAATGCTATTTTGTGTTTTGCTTTCTGCATTTTTCTTCTTCGAGTATCCACTTGTCTGGAATCACTTAAGTTTGACCTCAGAAAGCATCAGCAACATAAGCCGCAAGATTATTTTCAGCAGGATTGTCTCATCAGTTGGCAGCAGCTGGATAGTTTCTGTCTGCACGTGCTTGTGTATGAGCGTCTGTCTGTGTGGAGTACTGTACTTGCAAATGTGTGCATTAATCCCCACTTTCTGTGTATATGGTGTGTATTTCAGCTGATAGCAAGTTTGAAAAGAGAGATCCTGTCTCTTAAGGAGGAGCTGGCCATGGTGACTGGAGAGCAGAGAGACGACCGACTAACTCCAGAGGAGATCCAGAAGTACGTCACCTCTACTTTTTAAAGTCCTCATCTGTTTAATCATTGCATCGTCAGATGTTGTTCTCGAGTTAACTAAGAATGTAGAGCAGCTCAAACGTGTATCCAAGCTCCACAGACTGTATGTAAAAGATGGAAGTAGCCGGTGTGACGTCACATGATGATATGTGGGTTCTGCATTAGTGTTATCACCATCATCATGTTGTTTTCTGTGCCAGAAGATGATCAGATGAAGATCACACAGACACAGATATTGCTAATTAGTGCTTAGTTAAAATCTTCGTGCCATTTAGTTTCACTGAGTCAGATATGACCATATTTGGATTAGAGGGTGGAAGGTTAAGCGCAAACACTAAGCGGTTTTGTTTGCAAGCTGCATCAACAAACTGTATAGCTGCATTCTTACCAACCTTGAGACCTCAGAATTAGGGAGACATTCAATAGGGCTGTTGGGGGCGGGTGGTATACATATAGATATATATACAAAAAACTTGAATTTTACAATGTTTATTTATCAGATAAAATAAGTTAAATGACACCGTTATTATTGTCCGGCCGGAAACAGCGGGGTTGTCCAAATTCAGAGGCTGCGTCCACCTGACCGGACCCGGCCTTCGCGCTCTAAGTGGGCCAGGTCCTCCGAAAGCTGGGTAGACTGGAAATGAGTGACGGTGAAATTGGATGGTCTAGCCTTCAAAATTACATCACGAGATCTCTCGGTGAAGTGAAACTCTGCCGTCTGCTCCTTGCTATCTAAAATATAACCAGACACTGGCGTAAATTTTCGACCATCTCACACTTCTGTTTAATCAGTTTTCTGTTTGACGTTTATTCAGCTGTGTGAAAACCCCGGAGGAACCCACCCGAGGGATTAATAAAGTTTTATTTTATCTAATCTAATCTAATAACTTTAATCTCAGCCAAATCGATTTACTCATGAACAAATAAAACACTGAAAAAGGCCAAACAATAACATGTTTAAGTTATTTAAGTGACTTATATATCATGTTTAACCTGAGTACCGAAAGACCGAATTTGAAAACAATGTGCTGGGAGTTTGCTGTTCTCGTCGGCTCAGATATTTGAAGTTTACACAGCTACATTCTCGCCTGAAAATACGCTAAAAGTCAAAGAGTAAAGAGTAATATTGGGCTAAGTAGCTGCAGTAGTAGTAGCCATTGTTGGAAACTGGAATTGGCTGGGCCAACCTGGGATATCGTTTTTCAATTTTGTTGTCCGGGTGGAAAATCGGGAGAAATTTGGGAGAATCGTGGTGCTGGGAGATTTTCGGGAGGGGCACTGAAATTCGGGATTCTCACGGAAAAATCGGGTGGGTTGGCATGTATGTATAGGTGCTACACAGAAGTACAGGTACCTGCTAATTAATGCTAAGTAACAAACAATTTCATTGTTTCACCAGCCCCTAATATTATAATCAAATTATTATTATAATTATTAATTTGATAATTGGAGTGGAGACCAAACTATTTTCTGTAGCTAACTGTGAACATGTCTATTTCTGATGTAAAGCTGAATATTTAACATTGAGGTCTGTTGGGATAGTCGTTTTGCATTTCACTGAAGCGTTTCCTTCTTTTTCAGGCCTAGAGAGTGCTGTGTTGATCCTCAGACCCACAGAAAAGTGCAGAGTATACTTTATGAACTGTAATTTGTATTTGCAAAGCTCAAACCCACAGATTCTTAAGGAAAAATGTCTGGTGATTTATAAATATTTGGGGACTGCCTAATGTGCGTATATAACTTATGGTGCTGGCTTCACTTTGGTGCTGAATTGAAGTCTTGCTCAGTGCGGCTTAACCAGATCTCATGGCGTTTCCCAGCGCTGCTTTATTTCTGCTGCTGTACTCAAGTGGCAGACTGACCCAGGCAGTCGGGCAGGGCCAGGGTTCAGACCAGAGGTTTCATGGAGGATTTGGCAGATTGCTCCTCAAATGCTGATGCATTTCCCATGCCTTCGCCCCCACAGTTCACCCGTTTTATTATTTCCTCTCTACCCAGGTGATTATCCTTGATTTGCCTCTGTTTGTGCCAAACTCACACTGGGAATCTTTAATAGTATCTATTATGACCACATTTGCTGGAGTTTTTTTGTTGTCGTTTCCTCTCTATTTAATGTCCCCACTCATTTCCTGCGCTGATCGATTGCACATATCCTGGGTTATTTACTGTCACAGTTCCAAACGCACACACATCCTCGGGACTGCTGGGCTTTTGTGTTTCCAAAAGACACTTCTGTGTCAGTCCACTTCTATACAAGCTAAAGTCAAAGTAAATGTTTTAACAAGCAGTGTTAGTTTGCTACACTTGCTTGATAACAGCTCACATCACACACAGTTGAGCCACTTCTTGGAAAGTTTCCGATTCCAGTGTGTATTTCTTTCCTCTTGCAAAGTATTGAACATTGCATCCAAGGGCATTCTTAAGGTTCATGAAACCACTGATGTCTTGCAGGACCCTGAAACAGGACCGCTGCGTTTGTTTTAAGTCCTTCATCATGTAAACCTTGCATGTTCTTGTGTTGAACAAAAAATAAAAACCACACACTGTCGTGTCTACATTGGATGGGTTTGGGCACTTGCCTCCTGCTCTTTTCCTGTGGCCGCTTCCAGATCTTGAAGAACTAATGTTTGGACTATCGTTTAATGATAGTTTATCAACAGTCCGGCCCAGTGGAGCTGAAACACAAGTTTAAGTAAATAGTTTTCTTTGACCAGACCCACATTTTAAACTACTCAAATGTATATCTTAACTGTTTAAGTGCTGAGTGAGGAAGAATATAAGAGGGAGTGTGGCACTGCTTAGATGGTCTCTGTGTGTTTATGTGCACATGTTTAGATTGGAGGAGCTCGTTAAGGCTTATCTGGATGATCCCGATCCAGATGTGACACTGTCACTGGGACCAGACATGAGAAAGATCCAGCACTGCTTCTCCCTGCTAAAGGTAATGTATTCACAGTAACCTATGTGTACAGTCTAAGGAGCTTGGAAAGAAAGTGACTGGACTTAAGTTTTGTGAAGACACTCACCTCTCATCCAAGAGGCTTCTTCAGTTTTAAAACCAAATGGTGGAGAGTTTTAAACTCTAGTGGAGATTGTCCCTTAAGAGTGTTGTTGACCCCTTATTGATCATGTGCCTTGTCACATGACCCAAGGTGTGAAACAAGGCATCGGTCATTACCCGTATTATTCGGTAAAATCACTGTGAGACTACCATTACTTGGAGGACTGAGAATCTGCACAGTCCTGCTAAGTCGCCTCAGCTGGTGAACGGGACAGTTAGACACAGTTTTTTTTTCAATTTTCATTAATCGGGTAGGGCTGTGCGATATGACCGAAATCTCATATCTCGATTTAAGACATCTATTGTCCCGATAACGATATAAATCACAAAAAATTTATATTTTCTGTAAATTCTGTGAATCTCTGGCAGCTCGATTTGTGTGTTTCCAGCTGTGCGTCGTGTAGCTGGAGTCGAGTGTTTTAACCGATGCATGAAACTATAAATTTTTAGACATAAGTTGTAACGGCCGCCGTTTTCTTTGTGAGTATTTATTACACTGCGTGCTGCGGGGAAAAGCCTGTTCTAGCGTCTGAGTCTAAGGTTTATTTTGCTTCTCATCCATAAATACTCTGCATACTCTTTCACGTGATTCAGTTTATTTTGAAAAGTCTCAACAGGATCTTCAGCTTTATTGTGAAAGGTTTATGTGGAATATGAACAAGCGGACATGCAATGGTTTTACCGTTGTTGTTGCTAACGACAACACATAAAAACAGGCGCTTGTCCGTCTGTAGTGTGGTTATATTAAATATAAAAGAAAGAGAGAACTTTAAGAAATTAATATAGCCACTACAGTGACCATCAAAACGATGAAAAAATATTGCCGTAAACAGTTTATTTTGCGACACCACGAAACAAACGATAGCGTAAAATGAAACGATGGACGTTTTTATATCGTCATCCAATATATATCGTTATATCGAACAGCCCTATAATCTGGTGTTAATGTCTTTTTTTAAATTAGGTTCTTTTGATTTGAGCAACAGATTTTCAGTGAATTCATCATAAATTTAATCATTTATTTTTTGTCATGTCTGTTAAAATATGCAATTATTTTACTAATTTGATCACACATTTATTAATGAACTCTAAATCTTTTTAATGTCTATTTTACAGTTCAGTTACTGAATTAATGAAACCACCAAAATTTTTATTTCCCACCATTCATCACCTCAGCTTTGACCAGGTGACCCACATCTTCTGAACTGCTCGCCCAGCTGTCACCCCCTGAGTTATGGTTGAAACTTATTTAAATGAATTTCCTGCTTTCAAGCAATTAAAGGCTCTGTGGAAGGTTACTGACTAATCAGAATTTTATCACTGTAATTTCACTGAAATAGCCAACATTAAAATCATTAACTAGGAATGTATTGTATGCGTACGCAGTCACGGGAAATATCTTTTTGGTATTGTGTGTGGCTGCTAAATCTCACTCTGAAAATGTTTTACTTCTTAGTGATGTCAGAATTTACTCAGAGTTGTTGATTTTGATGGCTGAAGGCTGATTTTCCCATAGCCTGGCTAAAGTCTGAAGACAGAGTTTTGCAGTTATTTGCCATTTAATTAGATCCTAGGTGTAATGTTGACACGCCGCCCTTAATGCACGTCTTTAAGTTAAAACTTTCCAAGAATTTCCACCTGATCGTAGCAAACAACCCATCTGAAAACTCATCCATGCCATTTTCTTTCCCACTCACCTAACCCGAGTCACTAGAAGACAGGGGCACTGCCATTTGAAGATGTGTTGTGTATTTTTCACAGTTTAATGAAATTTTCTAGCTACATGAAAGTGATGGCCCTGTGACAACCTGGGAGACTTTTCAGGAGGTCTTGATTACTTTCAACAGTGAATTAGATAAGCAGTTAAGGAAACAGTTAACTGAGATCAAACATATTTACATGAAATATTAAAGTTGATCTCTTCGGCTTTTTCTTTATTTCCCTTGATAATCCTGTTCCAATAGTAGATGCTCTTTTCCAACATGGTCAAAGTTTCACATAGTAACTGCTCTAAATGCTCAGTTTTACACCGTTATTTTTTTGTTTTGTTTTGTTTTTTTAAATTCTTGGCTACGTATTGTGTCACAGGGTGGAAATATCACAGCAGTACGGTGGCCCTGAGAGGCCAAATGGACTGCAACTTAAGAAAGCACCAGCAATAAGAAAAATGCTGTTTTTCTCTCCAGAAATACTTCCCTTGTGCTTTTGAAAAATCTGTTTTTTCCTATTTCTGTTTTTGTTTGTTCTATTTCCGTTTTTGTTTGTTCTATTTTTGTTTTTGTTTTTCCTATTTCTGTTATGTTTTGTGTTCTTTTACAGCGTTTTTCTTATTGCTGGTGTTTTCTTAAGTTGCAGTCCGTTTGGCCTCTCAGGGCCACCGTACAGCAGTGACCAACATAACATTAAGAGCAGATTACATCCTGGCTACTTTTGTATATTTACTGTCCTGTAAAAAAGGTCATCTTCATTGTTTTCTATGGAAGTTAATCAATAATAATACTGCAAAATGTATTCAATTTATATTAGCAGTAGATTTGCAATAGAAATTTATGAGGATAAGGATAATAATTATAACTTTAAACAAAACTGTTTAAAACACACAGTTACAGAGTGCTTTATAGTTTGGATTAAAACCATACATTTGAGAAGCGTACATAACAACTATACAGTACATTTAAGCATACAGTCGAGGATGTGTTCCCACATGCATTTACGCTTACCTACAAACATTTGGTGTGAAACAAGGGGTTAATTAAGGAAGAACTAACTTGTAAAAATGAGTTTTCGGTAGCCTTTTATATTTACAGTCTAAATCTGCAAAATAATTGTTAACGTAAGCTTTAAAATAAATGTAGTAAATACTGGACATCCTGCATGCTACAGGTATCTCAGATAGAAAGAGAGAGAGGCAATCTTGTTGGTCAGAGATTGTGTCAAATAAACAAGTAGTTTCCATAGAGAAAGCTTCTGGTTTTAACTTGTTCTTAATTCAGATTGTCTGTCATTATTTTAAAATAGTGGGAGTAGCTGAAAAGATTGCATCTATTCATGTTCAAGCTTGTTGAACATGAAGCTTGAAGAGTGCCATGTTAGTTGAAGTGATCTGATAAAGGGCTCTTTACCTGTGGAGGTTTTGATTGCGATTATAGTAATGACACTGTTGCTGTCAACTCTAGAAAAAATAATCTCTTTCGCCGTTGCTGTAGCACCGCCACCTGTTTGATGCTTGTGGTATTTCATAGAGGAGAACCTGCAGCTCCAACTATGACAATGTAATTTTAACTGCTGGTGGTTTTCCCTGTAGATGCTCACTGGGCTGCATCCTTTAAGCCTTTTTAATCATACATGTGCTAAATATACTTGATAGTCGGCATTCATCTACAATCAGTGTTGACTTCCTGCTGTGTCAGTAAGGTGGCTATCAGCCTGGCACTGGTTATGTTGTACCCTACAGAGTCACATATCTCTGGCTGTGAACTCCGATTGCTTTTCAAACCTTTTAAAAAAGGTGACTTAAATGTTCTAAAAAGTATAAATTCATGTGTTTAAAAATGATTTAAAACTGTTGAAGGAACACCTGTCATGACCTTATGTCCAAAACATCTATATATGGTGTTGAAGCGATATCAACTGAAGTTTAAATAGGGTTGGGTTGTACTTAAGTGCAATACCAATTTGTATTACAAGATGCTACACTGTGTTAATACAACATTTATTCAACCGTTAGAAACATTGATTTTCAGTGAAAACAGGCAAAAAAAGCCTTTTGCTGAAATGCCGGTAGCTAAAAAGAAATACCAAAAACATACACAATAGTGAAGGTGGTTGGTGCTGCCAGGTGGTGAAGATTTTAGATTGATCCTTCAATCCCAGAAAGTATCTTTAAAGGGAGGGGTTCCTGAGACGTTTGTTGAAATAAGTATATCAAAGGGACAGCACAGGTTGAGTTACTTGGAGACAAAGTTAGAGAGGCAAGGTGGAGATGGTTTGGACTTGTGCAGAGAAGTATTGTTGTATTTAATATCTGGCAGCTGGTGCTCAGACTGAACTAAACACTTGGGTGAGTTGTTGTTAGAAAATTTGTGTTTTTACAGTTCTTTTTGCTTTGGCTATCTACTCAGTTTGCCCTTGCATGTTGTGCATAAAATGTTTATAGAAAAGTTCTCATTTATGGAGAAAGTCTTAGGCAATGACGTGCTGCTGCTGCTGCTGCTGCTGAGCAATGGGAAAATGCTGCAGTACTCACGTCGTCCCTGGGCTTTGGTTTGGTTGAAGTTTGAGCAGCCACCAGAAGCTGTTCCAGACCCCACTTGAACGTCTGTTTATCTCTCCTTCAGTTTGTTATGATCCGAAAACTCTATCTCCCGTTCAGTTTACATTCCTCTGAGCATCACCCGAGTCGCACTCCAGTGAACCTGTAAGAGTTCGTCCGGTTTGAATTTCATTTCATTTCTCTTTGTTCCCAGCGCTGATTGTCACCATTTCAGGCTTTTGTTCAACAGTTTATCTTTTGTGTTTCTGTGCCACAGTGATGACATGAAACTGAAAAGTTATTTTACAAGCCTGGGGAGTATCATCCTAGCGCAAAATGTTCAGGGTCAAGCTTCACTCCTCTTTTGTGCCTTCTGCATTTGCAAAAATTACATTTCCCCTAATATGTTTCAGATTTAAAGACCCTGTCTGAGCACCTGTGTTAAAAAAAAAATCACGAAATCTTTATTGTAACTGTCTTTGTGTGTGTGTCTGTGTGTGTGTTTGTGCGTGTGTGTGTGTACAGGTAATTATTTGGGACAAAAAGGGAGGAAAAAACAGATCCAGTGATGACAAAGCAACACCAGCAGCAACAGGGAGGGAAGAAGAAATTCAACACAGCCACCAAAGTGCAGGAGAGGTGGCCAAATTAAAAGAGATGCTCGGGCAACGTGATAACGAGATTAGTATCCTTTGGCTTGCTGCAGCTAGCTTACTTCAGCTCCAGTTAATCTCTATAAAGAAATATCTGATATTTCATACTGGAAGACTTTTTTCTTTCTGTTTCTAGTCTGTGTTTTATTGATCCATCATGTTTGGGCATTGGTTGCACATAGATCAAAGCCTGTGTGGAGAGGCAATAAGGGATTGAATGTTCTGAAGTGCAATTTCAAAACCATCAGCTACCGTCTGACTTTTTTTTTTTTTAACAATCAGCGAGGCACACAGAACACAACGTCTTGGCCTACATTTCTGTTCTCCGTTATTTTGATATTCTGGCTGCACAAGAAACTTGGAAAAATTGGCTTTTGCATCCACAAGCTTAGTCATTAGAATAGTTGCCAGGTTCCTGGACTGAGCGTCAATAAGAAGCAATAAAAATCTGATTGTACTAAAAAATTGTTTTACAAACAAAGGAAAAATAATTAGGGACCTTGGTATGAAACATTAAACCTCTTATGTGTTTTAACTTATTTTGACTAACTACCTATCCCATATGGTGAAATGACTGTTTTTACCCAAAATGTACTTTTCAAAGATCTCTCCTGTGAATTATCAGGAAAGAGAACAATCATCCAGGGTACCATTGCTTGTTTCTGCTACTCTGCGTCTTAGACATTAAATTGGTGCAGTTTTGATGTTGAAGCTATGATGTATCCCATGATACTGAAGTTCCAAGTGTTATAGGAGAAATCAAGCTGAATAAAATCAAGATTTTGGCTTTAGGTTGTGAGACTTGGAGTGTGTCTAAAATTGATTTGGTTTCAGTTTTTAATTGAACTCTTTCATCTATTATGAGAATCAAAAATGCTGGAAAAAGTACCATTAAAACAACTTAAAAACTGAAACTTTGACCCATTTTTAATTACTTTGAAGACCTGTAACTTAGAAAGGTAAAAGTTTGCATGGCTTCATTAAATACAGTAAATGCACTGGTACCTATATAGCACTTTTATACTCGAACACCATAAGCCTCATTCATCCAATCAAACACAGATTCATACAAGCTCTTTTTTGCTATACTTTGTCTAACAGTCAGACACACACTCACTCCGATGGATGCATTGGCATTAACTGTGGGTTCAGTATTTTGCCCAAGGATACTTTGGCATGCAAACTTGAGGAGCCAGGGAGCAAACTGTCAACCTTCTAACTGGTAGAAGATGCTGAACATCTAAAACAATATTAAGTCATAACATTTGCTGGCTTCTTACTTCTTTACCTTACAGTTTTACTAACTCATTCAGGAGATAACTCATGTTAGCACACCCACACATGCCCAGACTCATCTGTTTTGGAAGTGACAGTTATATGTCAAGATGCTACATGTAATGATATTTATTTAATGCATCAGTAGGGAAATGAGGCAAAAATCACCTTGACTGGTGAGCTGTATTGACCTGATAGGACTGCGTGCACATTTGGTGCAATTTCAAACCACAGAGATTCAGATCCAGATGTACAGCATCTCATTCCTCTAATATACAGCTTCCACTGTTCACGCTTAGCTGAAACAAGAGTTACAGTGTTTAAGGAAATGGCTTTTTTAAATTGGGTGATAATGGGTGGAAAATAAATTGAGCAGAGTGGATTTCAATTTAAATTAGTCTTTCTGCATCCCACCTCAGCATTTAATCACACTTACTGCTGATAGTAAAGCCTTCATTAGGAGAAAAGTCTTTATAGGAAATGTGTCTGTGTTATTGCACGGTTGGGTTACTGCACTTCTGTGAAATATAAGTAGGTTAACATTCATCACTAGCACACCACAAAAACACAGATTCTAATGACTGCTGTTAATCATAATTACTATTAATCATAATAATGGTATTGGTGTGTGAATACGATATTTCTAATGGCTTTATGGGATTATTCCACCCTCAGCCCCTTTTGCTGTGGCTTGCCGTTAGATCACTGCACATTAGCTGGAAAATTGAGACGTCTGCTTGATTATTTAGCCAGAAAATCCGCAGGTCTCCTAAACAAATCGAATATTATCAAACAGATATTTTACCGTAGTATTTCTTGGACCTGTTTTTTGGAATGTAAATTCCTTTCTTCTTTGATTTTTTCCCCCTCAAATTGTCACATACTGGTTTTCACATGATGCACGTGTAATTGCCAAAAGTGCCCCTGTACGTGTCTAAAGGCGCATATTACAGTCACTAATGTACATGCTCTCCTGACCATGTTGCCTTCTTTCATTGTGAAGTTTGTATATAAGGTTGCAATAGCCTAAACTGTCAATCCTTCAGTCAGGGTGGTCTGTCTGCACTTTGTAACATTATAGTCTGTAAGAGTGACATTATTTCCAAACAGATCACTAATAACTATCTAGATTTCAAACCTGTATCCGCTAGCTAATTACTGTGCTGCCCATGTCTGTATGAATGTCCTACGCCCTTGGCTCTACAGCGACACTGAGGAGTCCTCACAGGGTTTATTATGGGAAAGTTCCCAGTAAAACAAAGGGGGGGCATCCTATCTGCAAGAGTTAGGGCACCTGGTTTTGCTTAGTTGACTCTCCAAGAGTGAATAGATATCCACCAGTAACATGATGACAGAGAAGCAACAAACATAGCAGATTTTAAACAAACGAAGAAAGCACAGTGGTTAGGGTGACAAATAAAACAAGCCGATGTCAAAATGACAAGGTTTTCTGAGGACAGCTCATGTGGTCACATTGCACCTTAAAAACGATGACTAAAAAGGATCGGGAAATTTCAGAGAAATCTGAATTTATGAGATATAAAACAATAGAATTCAAACTTCATGCTAATGATCCTATAGAGAAAATATTGACCTGATTTCTGTGGGGCTTGAATATCCCGAGTTTTCCTAACAGGAAAGTGTTATTAATTTATTTATTTATACACTTTTTTTTAAGCAAAGTTTATGCTAGTTAAACTCAAAGTGTATATATTGTAGTTTATATCAATGCATGCTGACACACTTCTCTGTCATGCATTGTGCCAGTTTTTCCATCTCTACAGCAGCTTCTCGGTGGTCGGTCATCTAAACTGACATCAGAAAGTCTGGATTTAAGCCACATGACCTATCCAATACATGTTCTACAATAATCAAAGTGACAATTGGGTGGCTTTAGCCAATTAACTCTCACCTTTTCTTTGGTAATAAGAAATTTTGTGTCCTTGACCTCCCAAATTGCAGCATCCAGCTCAAAAATACTTAGACCCACCTGTAATTTTGTGCACTTCATGGCTGCAGTGTAAAAAATAACCTGTGAACTGTGATGAATTGTGAGCTGTATGAGCGACAACATCACTGACAGTCTCATTTGTGACTCAAATGGTGGGTGGGTGGTGGGTGATGATATCAAAGGTGCTCAAAACTTGTGTAACACTATACTCAGCCACCACTGAACATAGATTAGTTAGACCTGGGTGGTGTATCGTGTTGAGATCTCATGACTTATCTACCCAGAAGCAGCATGGCTTCACTGGTGTAAATACTAAGCCCTCAAAGCATCATGTATTACTACGTGGAAACAACCAAAAAAAACCCCTCTCATGTTAGTATTGTACATTAATTTCATTCCTGATAGTAACTATAGTCTCTCACTGTGTATCTGTGAGAACAACTTAAAATTGACAGGCCTGTGCTGATGCCCTGTCTTTGTTAAAGCAGTACCATAGGGTGTCACTTATTACACATTCGGTGGAGAACATCAGCTTTTGATCATTTATTGTACTTGGATTAGTTTTACACTGTTCAATTCATCCAAGATGTTGTAATTGGAGCTGTTTGGGTCTCCTTTTACTTAGGTGAAAATGTGAAAAATATCTTTGGGCTAGGGCCATTAAAGCTTGGTTGGTTTTGAGCCCAGAGAGGACTCGGTTGCTTGGTCAGGAAAATATCATGGCTCCAAATATTTTACAGAATGGTCATGACCGTGCTTTAAAGAAACTAACACTTCATTTTGGCAAGAAACAGAAATATTTGACCCGTTTGGGGGCAAAGCTGGCCAAAAGATACGAGTTCCACTTGCTTGCACTAATTTCCTTTCCTTGAATACTGTCATTGTATTCGTAAACGTAAAGAGTAGGGAAACAAATTGTTCCTTATCATTTTTATTGCATACATTGTGTGGTACATTGAAACTGGAGTAGTTTGTGGCACCATTGAGAATGAAATCAAACATCTGCCATGTGTGGCAATTTTAAAGGCATTTTGTGTATTTCCTGTAATGTCTGACTTGTTGGAAATTATATTAGAGAATGACTAAAAAGCCGAGGAGGAGAAGAACATCATGAGCTGAATCTAACCGCAGCATTTTCACCACATGGCATGCGAAACAGCCCACAGATCTCACGTTCTTACTCCTATAGAAGTTTTTATCTCCACTAGACTTCTGTGGTAGTTTTGTGCATAAATGAAGATATCAGACGCCAATAATGGAAAAACCTGATGAACAGCGGTTTGAAGTAATGACTTGTTTGAATCAATGACACAGGACCCACAGAAACAGGCTCTTTTTCTGTAAATGTTGGCTACAGTAGGTCATTTGGAAGTGTGTTAGGTTTAGATTTTGGCAGTTTTGAGAACACTGTATGTTTTATTTCAATGGAAATTGTAATTAGAGACTACTTCTTCATATTATTGTTTCCACTGACATCCCCTTTTGTCATGGCTGAAGGGAATAAAAGTTAAGTTATGCCGTTTTTGTCTTTAAAAATCCCCCCGCGGTTATAGTCTGACTACAGTGAGATGTCTGCAGATCTCATTGTTAGTTGTGTGACTCCAAATTAGGGGTAGGCAACTCTTATTTCATGCTGACTAATAAATTAGGGGAAGGGCCATTCACAGGATAAATAAATCAAAATATGGTTACACGTTGAAATGAAAATATTACTAATATAAAATAAAATCCCTTTAAAACAATTTTAACTATAAGGATAACTTTCTACACTTTTCTTTTGTAGTCAGTGACTGCAGGAAGTCCAGAACCCATGCACATCAACTAATGCTGTTTTCCCCCTTGAAATGTTCTGCCAGGCCTTCACTGTAGCAACCTTTGATTGTTTCCTTCTTGTGAGTCTTTGAGTATTAAAGTAAATAACTTTAAAAAAAATGCTCTTTATGATTGAAATCAGATGACTGACTTGGCCAGTGTATAATATCTAATTTCTTTGCATTGAAAACTCTTTGGTTGCTTTTGCAGTATGCTTTGGGTCATTATTTATTTGCACTGTAAAGCGTTGTCTAATCAGTTTTGGCAGCATTTGGTTGAATCTGAGCAAAGGCTATAGGCCTGTGCGCTTAAGAGTCCGTGTTGCTGCTTGAATCAGCAGTCACATCGTCAATAAACAGTGGCCCATTTCCACTGGCAGTCACACATGCCCATACTGTAATGTTGCTTCCACCATGTTTGATTGATAATGTAGTATGCCTAAGATCGCAAACTCTTTCTGTCTTTCTCAATACTTGTTTTCTTCCCATTGTACAAGTAAATCTTGGTTTCATTTGTCCTTTTTTGTAAAACTGTGCAGACTCTTTTCTTTGTTTTCTGCTAAACTCTAAACTGGCCTTCCTCTTCTCAGGTCTTTCCATTCCCGTTTCCCCTTGTGTATTCTCATTGTGTTCCCATCTTATCTCTGTTTTTATCTTTTGTCAGATTCACGTCTTAGTGTGGGTCTCAGTCTGTATGTGCGTGTGTGTGTGCGTGCGTCTAATTACTGTTTTAATCTGATAGTCTTATATCTTATGTGCTTCATATTGAATTTTACTTCCCCTGATATGCTGCAGCTGTCTTCCCTGGTGTTTTCAGTCTTCCTAATTACTTGCTGTGTATTTATTGTCTCAGCCTTCCCTTGTCCCTTGTCATGTCCTCACCTCACATGGTAGTGTGTTTCTTAGCTCTGTGTTGTGCTGTTTCCCCCTCAGAGTTAATTCCTAGTTTAACATAAGCTTTTATTTTTGTTAACCTTTGCATTGCCAAAAATAAAGCAGGCCATGAAACTAATGTGTCCAGTTAGTTTTGAGCCCATTAAAAGGGACGCATTATAAAAACTGCTATAATTCCTAAATTATAGGCCAGAGGCCTTGTTCAAATACTTTTGGACCTAAGAGTAGTCAGCTCGAACCAGCCCTGGGACATGATCTAAGAAGAGTCAGTACAGTCACTCAGTTATTCTCAGTTATACTCTTAAGCAGACAACCACATCAGTGGGAAAAGACTCCCAAGAAATTCTTGGCAGTGTCATCTCTGCAGGCTTTTGGCTCCTCTCCACTGACTCATGCCAGACATTGCACCTTCCCATTTCTCTAAGGTCGGATGTCATTTAGGAAATCTCTACAGAAGCACAGCCTTTATCAAATAGCACAGCCTTTATCAACTATTGAAACATTTGGGAATACTTTTATAACAATTTTGTCAAAAATTAACTCTAGAGCAGCTACCTAACTGTCCTCATATATGCTTGACATAAGTTCTTTGATTTGTGATCTGTCCAATTGAATTGAGGGAGATTTTCTTGCAGTATCTTACCTCCAAAACAAAGACAAGTGCATTCTTTAATTCCTTGCGACAGGCATCCTAGTTAAGATGTTGAAGAAGGAGAAAAAAAGAGCCCAGGATGCTGCTGCTCAGCTTGCAAACATCACCAACAGCCAGAGTCAGAGTACATCGAGTGTGTCCACGGTGGAGCTGTCACAAGAAGGAAGTATGGAGACCATCTCAGCAGACCACAGAGGACGAGCTATACAGTGCATGAAAAGAGGTACGTCAACCTCAAGGTGTTCCCCTTGTCTTAAAAGGCAATATTGAAAGATTTGGCATGTTACTTGTTACATATGCAAAATCGTGTTTGAAAGACTGCTGATATGTTGTGATATAGAGTCAAAGTGTGAATCAGGTCTAGCTTCTTTCAGATGTTTTTTCCTAAACATAGCAATTTCTGGCCTTAAAATGAGGCCATATAACTCAAAAGGAGTTCATTGAGCCAAATTATCAAAAAAAAAGAAAAAAAAGAACAGGTAGTACAACTAGTGGTATTTAAGAGGGACTTATCTCAATAAAAGCTGTCTGTACTTTCAAGGAAAAAATAACATAGGCAAACATTCTCTGATGTAATTCCTTTCTTGTCTAATGTTCTCTAGATTTTTCTACTTTCAATAGAAAATGTCTTTTTTTAATAGTATTTCTACTATTAAAAAAACCCCAAATTAAAAGGAAAAACATCCATCAACTAACTAGTAATGTAACTGTTTGTAGAATGGAATGTTTTTAGTCCAGGTTGTTAGAGGCCTGTTAGAAACAGTTTCATTGTTTTACATTATGTTACAATATCTTTAAAAAGCATTTAATACATGAAAATAGTTTAATCATGTGTGTGTGTTAAAGTATTATGCATTTCCAAAGCATTTCAGTGTTTGTAAAGACAAGTGTCCACTTGTCCACATGTTGAGAGTGAAACCAATGTCATTTTTGCATTTGGTGTGGTATTTGATATATGTGAGCTATCAGTGCTCAAGACTAAAAGTAAGAAATGAAAACTGGCTGGGTAATATTCCTCAGAAATAGAGCTGATATAGTAGTAATGCTGTTCATGCTTACCAAAATAATCAGAACAGGTCCTGTCCCACATGGACTAATAAAGCACTGTATGAATTAAATCAAATTTTCACAGATGTTGACTCCATTAAGCGTCACACTCGCTCTTTTTAAGCTTTGAAAAATTAGGTGCTAAGCCTACAGACAGGTGATCTCTCTCGGTTGGAATGTAGGCTGTTTTTTGTGGTCTTTTAGATTTTCACTGTGCCTTTTGTGTGTCTCTGGGCCATAACAAATTCCTGATTTGTGGATTTTACTGCATGGTAAGGGTCTGACATACCAGAACCCTTTTCTTTATTTCTACACAATGCCATGAGTAGGATTATATGTATTAAAAGGACAGTATGGTATTTTAAACCTGTAATTTGTTGCTGATGAAAAGCTAATGGGTTTAAAACCTGTAATACTGACTGGAACGTGAAGCCGAGGCCGTGAGCCAAGACTTCTGCAATGTAAATACAAGAGACGCTATGCAGATGTGACCAGGACACTAAACCTAGACTGACAACTTTTGAGAAAGCATCCACTTAATTTAGAGACAGAATGTCTGTGCCATTGTGAAGCAGGCCAAAAAAGGTTATTCCAGAAGTCCTGCTCGCAGTTTTCTACATCCAGTTCATCCTCAGTATCACGAGACGCTGCCAAGCCAGATGAGCTTCATGATTACCTGATTAAAATATGTTTAATCTCCTTTTCAAGATCGCTGTCTCTTGCTTGCCCAGATCTCATCCAGGAAGTCCCGATTTGAATATTTGTATTCTGCGCCCACGGTTCTGAAAGTCAAGCATGGTACGCACATTAACAAACAACACCCACGGATGACGGTGATAGGAGCTCTTGCTACAAACAAGCAGTTTCCAATTCTGAAACCAGTGACTCAGCTGAGCAGCGAGAAAAGAAGCATGCGTGTTGTGCACTATAAAACTGTCTTTCAGGGTGAGGTTGTCAACCGACATCGAAGAGTGGTGCTTGCCATCAAATGCTTGTACAAAACACATTGAGAAAGGCTTTTTTTAACTACACTAACACATTCTTCACAGGCACCTCTGAACCACTTGCCAAATTTGCCTCCCTACAACTTTCTATACTTCTGTGTAGATCCAGAAGAGATCCAGCACACACTGCACAGGCACAAGTATGAGTGAACATTTGCAGAGTGAGCAGCCATACTGTCCAGAATTGAACAAAGAGATGATCTTGAAATCTAGATTTTTTTTAAAATAGATCTATCCAAGAATTTTTTGATCACATCTTGTATAATCTCTTTAGTCTGGGTCTCCTCCCAACTGACCATCCAAAGTTAGACGACTAGGAGATATCCTGATAAGATGAACGTGTATGTATCAGTAATTATCTCACGATACTCAAGCTCTTTAGCAACAACTCTCCTCTAGTGCAGAGGCAGCTGTCCATTCCTGTTTTTGGATGAGAATCATGGTCTCCCATTGATGGTGCTAACTATGTTCTGTCACCTCATTGTCAGCTTTAACTGTGCGTTCTAACAGTCATATTCAGAAAGGCAAAAGGACTGCATTAGATTCTTAAAACCAACACCCTCCTTACTCTGAGTGTGCCCTGAGATCCTGTCTATGAATGCCAAACACGTAATTTGTTTGTAGTTCTCAATTCAAATCCAAAAATGTATGCATAAATACATAAGTAAATATGCCAGAGGATATTTACTCTTTCGTTTTGGCAAATGTGTACATAATAAAGAACCATACTGTTTTACTTAACTGGCAGCCTAAGCGTGGTTGACAGCCTTTATGAACTAAAAGTTTAAAGATACATGATAACAATGACCCAAAGGTGGCAGCTTTAGAAGTAGAAACTTCAGCTGCAGCTGAACTTCTTTAGACATAAACTTGGTTTAAATGTAAGGGGAATGCTGAGGTTAAGCAAGTTAAGCTTTTGGATGAGCTCTCCAGCCAAAGGCGGCATTTATTTGGCTTTTCCTGCTTAATTTTGGTTAAGTGGAGCCTCGAGTGATGATGAACTTGAGCCTTTGTAACAAGCTTGGTCATAGCCATCAGGCTCGGTATGAGCCAGAAACTCATCAAACCAAGCCTGCGCTCTTGTCTCTGCTAACCACAGCTCTCTCATCCTCTCTGACATTTTTGTGTCATGGTGCCCAGTGCAGTAATAAGACCAGAAGAGCCTGTTTGAAAACAAAATACACACTTCAAGTCTGTCCATAAAGGACTATAGAAGGAACAAAGACCATGAACAGGGGGTTTTAAAATCACTGATAAATGATGTTCCATATGTATTAGATTATCTGATATGCAGTTAACATTATTATATGGGCTGTCACAGCAGAAGATTTGTTTTCATTCAGCCTCAAAAGGCCATTTTATTTATTTATTTCTCTCTTGTGAGACATGAACTTCCATGGATTCTGGTTCCTCTTAGTTTTACTTGGGCAGTCCATCCAGGTATATTAACAGCTGTGAAAATAAATTTAATGAACATAGATCACTGCAACTACAGCTGATCCACAGCTGTCATGTTAAAGCCTCCAAAATCAGTTCTATTCAAATTTTCACATCAGAATTCTGCAAACAATACCCACAGTGACAAAGTGTTTTCTTGAGGTTCGCATACTTATTGTGCATAAGTATTCACAGCCTTTGCTCAACACTTTGTTCAAGCAGTTTTGGCAACAATTACAACCTCAAGTCTTTTTGAGTATGATGCTACAAGCTTGGCACACCTGTTTTTGGGAACTCTCAGGCTCCATCGGTGCTCAGATATTTTCTGATCTCTCCAGAGCTGTTCAGTCTGGTCTCTGAGCCACTCAAGAACATTCACAGACGGGTCCCAAAGTCACTCCTTTGTTATCTTGACTGTGTGCTAGGGATGTCTGTACATTGCTGTATTCATCTTTCCCTCGAAAAAAAACAAAAACAAAACATCCCCACAGCTTGATGGTGCCACCACCATGTTCAGTGTAGGGATAGTATTGGCCAGGTGATGAGTGGTGCCTGGTTTCCTCCAGATATGACGCTTTGTATTCAGCCCCAAGAGTTCAGTCTTTGTTTCATAAGGTCAGACAATGTGGTTTCTTATGGTCTGAGAGTCTTTAGGGTGCCTTTTGACAAACTACATGTCGGTTGTCACAGTTTGACAAAGTTTTAGTGGGGGGTGGTTCATTTAATTATTAGTTATTATTAATCTCTCTTGTTTTTTCTTTTGTTCCTTTTGCAGTTATGTTGTTGCAGTTTTTAATAATCTCTGGCTCTTTGCCACAGCATGTCTTTGTCTTGTCTTCATCCACTCATCCCCAATCGGTCACAGCCCATGGCCATCCCTGCCTGAGCTTGGTTTTGCAGGAGATTTCTTCCTGTTTAAAGGAAGGTTTTTCCTTCCCACTGTCACCAAAGCGCATGCTCATAGGGGGGCATGTGATTGTTGGGGTTTTCTCTGTTTTCTTTGTATTATTGTCGGGTCTTTACGTTACTATATAAAGTGCCTTGAGGCAACTGTTGTTGTGATTTGGTGCTACATAAAGACTCAGAGGTATGGTTCTACATACGTCTGAGTCATCATCGGTGACGACCTAAGCAACTTTGTAGCATTTTGTACTCTTTGTAGAAGAAAGAGGCACTTCTGGTTTACATCAGAAATACAGTAAGGAGGCTGCAGCATTCTTGCCTCAAGAAAATAAAATGTGTGCCCTTTTCCAGGCTGGAGGATTATAACAATGGTGGACGGCATGCTGATCAAGACTGATTTAGCATTGCTGTGGAGTCACAGACTGAGATGGTGTTTGTAGATGACTTCATTCTTAAACCAGACTATATAATGACTACATTTTTTAATTTTGCCAACAGTATTAGTACTGTCCACTCTGTTGTGGGGAAAGTTGCACACCCCCAGAAATCTCCAGATCCTGCAGTAGTTACACGTCCACTCAGGAATGTTCAACCAATTTTCTCACACTTCATGAGAAATTCCTGACTCTTTCAGCCTGATGCTGTCCAGGGAGACTCTGTAACTTTGGGAAGCACAAGACCACACTGAGTACTTACAGGAGAATCAGAGAAGACATTTCCTACAGTTGTAATGCTTTTTATGTGGAGCACAGGTGGGGTCAATATTTATTTATTTGGTTTTTTTAGACTTTGGTGTTCATGCTGCATTTCTACAAAGATTTATGAGGTCCATTCTTTATTCTCTGTTTAAAAAGAGACCATTTCTGAGAAAAACTCTCAAACTCTGAGATTAGATTTTTGAGGAAAAATGCACAATATTTTGTAGATTATCTAGAAAAAAATATACAAAAAAAGATTACACTTTGCAGTCAAATTCACTAAGGGAATCCTGATAACTGTAGCTCTAACTCTAATTTCAAGCTTTAAAGAGACACTGTCATAAAATGGGTGGATTCAGAACATAATTACACACTGAATTAGACGAGCTTTGTGCAACATCTGTTGTTTCTGCAGTTTCATGCAGTAAAACAGCAGTTTTACAGAGGCTGGTGGATTAGAATTTCAGCTTTTTATCTTTATTTATTTTGGCTTTCATTTTTCTAAATGTCCAATTTTTTCATGTAAATTGAAGTCTAATCTTACATATCTCATCCTTTTGTTTTTCAGAATGTTGCCTCCCTTCATCTGTGTATTTTTTATTATCATTATTATTGTTATTCATTTCACAGGTTTTCTTCCTAATAGTTACAATTTTCATATCAGAAAATGTCGGATTTATTCCTACTTTTGCCTGTGCCTTTAAATATATATCTTGTAGAAACCTCCTTTTCCCAGTTTGTTTATTTATTTTCCATCTTTAGAATATTTTAGGATTTTTGAATTTTATTATTAGCTGACAGTTAACTTTTTGTATAGCTTTATTTATTTATAGTATCTGTCGTTTTCCTTTGTATTTATTTATTATATATGTTCTTATTCTTTGCAAAGCACTTTAGCACTCTTTCCAATAACCTTACTATTTCTGTTGTTACCTTTATTTAATATGCCACAGTAGTAAATCAGTACCTAACTATTGAATTTTTAGACCCATAGATTTAAAAGCAACGCATTGAGAAAAAAGGATAAGAAAAATACAGCTGTCCTTGTGCGTCTTCTTATGTGTGCTCTAAATACATTTTTTATGAAATATACAGAATGAGCAGAATACCAGAGGGACACACAGTTGACGCAGTTCTTTAACAATAGAGCAGATATCATATGTTTCTCATCTGCAGCGGCTGGTTTCCATGACCCACTTGGCGACTCAAACTATATGCACATTAGATCATTGTTCTTTATTCTGTCTTAATTTAAAACAAATGTGCTACACTTATCATGTCCGCATGCTCAGAGGGTCGCTGACTGTTTATGTACATTTCAATTAGGTCTAATCTTTGGGTCCTGCTGCTGCAGTCGCTGGATGAAAATCACTGTCCCCTGAAGATGCACTGTAAATATAATGATGATGAACTTTCCATGGAAACCATTTGTGATGACTGAAAGCCATACTGTCAGACTCTGTTTTTTCCTTCTGTTCTTGGCCTCCTAGCTCAGCCAACACATAATAGAACCTGGACATTAGGAAGGGTTTTCTGATTACCACTGTCTCTGTAGAAGCACTCTGCGCACATTACGTCATAGAGCTGGATTTCTGCTGCGTTTGCTGTACAATGAAAACAGGACTAATAGGAGTGTTTAGAGTCTTATGAAGGTACAGATGTACAGTGTCTCCTTCCTGTTCTTTTCATAGAGCGCTGATAGAAAGACAAGGTGTTCCTGTTGTGGCTCAGACTGTTAAAGAATTGAATTAACCAGAAATGAGACGAGTCTTAAGTGAGAGTTAGATCTTAACGTAAATCCGGCTAGCTTGTAATGAGACGCTGATGATTCTAGCAGGCCGTCCACACGTTTCTGTGATCTGGACCAAATAGAGACACCTCGGTGAGTGAGAAAGTGCAGTAGGAACATAAAATTCACCCAAAAATAATTGTGAAAGCTCCTAGCTTCTTCTCTTTGCTGGCATTTCACCTCTAAAATTTGTTGAAGCAGCAACAACAGTCACAACACATTCAAACCTCTGTGGTTTGTCTGCACTTGGAGCACGGAAAAGAAAAATGAGGAAAGTTGGCCTGAGGACCGTGTGATCTCATTACCCCACAAATTCTGTGAGCACAACATAATATGATGTTATATCACCCTTAGATATTCCTGGAATGCTGCTTTTTTACAAGAGTCGACCGGAGTGCATTTCCCCTCAAGATCCCCTCATGCTGATTTGTAGAGTTTGGCTCTTGTAGCGCACGTCTAAGTTGGTTTTAATCAGGACTTTCCAAAAATAAAGAAACAGCATTCCTAACTGTCCCACGATTAATCTCACATGAGTTAGTGTCCTGTGTACGAATGTCTTTGGTTAGAACGGATAAGTCCACAGATTTAACGGGGGGTGCAGGGATTATTGGAAATCATGGTGGCATTTTGGATTTTCCAAGGAACAGTTGGAAAACAGTTGGTAACAGAGAGGAAAACAACAACTTGTTTTTCGCCTTCTTAATAAAACAGAAAAAAATAGAGTAAATTCCAGTCACCATGATACATGCAGCACTTATAAATAATAAATAGCTCCCAGTCATTTAATGTCTACATACAAGTTTAGCTTTTTGTGTTAAACTAAGAGAAGTAAAGGTTTTACAACAGATTTATTATCATGTAATAGCATGAAAAATAACAGTGCACTAATTGTAAGATTTTTCCCTAATACCAATATAATCTGTACTGATCTCATTGTGTCATTTAAGGAGGCAACAGAAAAAAATCACAGTTGACTGACTAAGATTGCAGTGTCAGTATTTAAGGTCAGGATGTGAACTTTTTCAAGCACGTAATCCAAACCATGCAGTGACATATTAACGTTATCTTGTGGATGGGCTCTTCTCAAGGATTTTCTTAGGTCGAGTTTGGTCCGATTTTGGTGTCTTCTTTCTGCCATATGATGACAATTGCCTCTGCCCATCAGGAATCTCAACAAGAACTTTTATTCAGAACTATTTAACCTACAAATAAACATCCTTCCTTTGCTAATGTGTTTATATTAGTCTAACCATAGCTTTGTAGTTAGACTCCAGGTGCATTTGGACACAGAGATGGTGCATAATAGTTACCACACAGATGCTTCTGGGTCATTTCACTCCTTTAGGAACCTTCCTGAGAATAAAATTTACAATCCAGCCTTTCTAATTCAATCGCATTTTCAGAAGGAGACCAAATCAACGCTCTCTGCTGTGTTGTGTTTTATCCCCTTGGTGGAAGTGCAGTATTTAAAGCAGATGTGTACAGCTTTAATAAAAACTTGAGCAGTGAGCAGGAAGTTCAACATCATGTTTCCTGATGTGCGATGCACTGCTGAGGTTGAGCAGCGAGGGGTGGGGTATATCCGCTATGTAATCTTGACATGTTCAGAACTGCTGTTTATATTTGTGTTTATGTTCTCGCTAATCATCAAATGCCGCGATAATCAGCCATATCAGTAGAGCTCTGTAGCGCACATCTGGCTTCCAGACTGGAGTAGAGTACCGGTGAATGTGGGAACATGTTCACATTTGTGTGAATGTGAGAGTGAATGAATAGTGGTATTGTAAAGCGCTTTGGGTGCCTTCAAAAGCGCTATATAAATACAATCCATTATTATCCATTATTATTTGCACAGCAGGACCTGGCATGAGTGCTCAAGTTAGATGATGTTTTTTACCGTGGAGCTGCTGATATACACAGTGTTTCTGATTCATAAAATAAAGCACACTGTGCATCTCAGTGCTGATTTTTATTCTCTCTCTTTCAGGCCCCAAGCTGTCAATGGGAAAACAAGAGGCCTTTGAGATCTTCATAAGAGACCATGAAGACCACCTAACCATTGAAGACAACAAGAGTCTGCTGAAACAGAGGTTAATGACTAGTAGAACAAAATATTATCCTGATAATGCCCAAATTAAGGCAGACTACTTCAACGTATAAGCAGTACCACAAAGTTCAGCATTTCAAGGATATCGTTTTCTTCTCGGGCACCTCTTTCTCTAACACCAGGAATCAGTCTGAGTGGTCACATGAATGTGGTTAACAAAGTCACGTTCACTCAGGAAAATGATTCTTTGCCCTCATAAACACGGAGCAATAGTTTTGAGTAAAATTCAAATTACATATACAGGGAGTGCAGAATTATTAGGCAAGTTGTATTTTTGAGGAATAATTTTATTATTGAACAACAACCATGTTCTCAATGAACCCAAAAAACTCATTAATATCAAAGCTGAATGTTTTTGGAAGTAGTTTTTAGTTTGTTTTTAGTTTTAGCTATTTTAGGGGGATATCTGTGTGTGCAGGTGACTATTACTGTGCATAATTATTAGGCAACTTAACAAAAAACAAATATATACCCATTTCAATTATTTATTTTTACCAGTGAAACCAATATAACATCTCCACATTCACAAATATACATTTCTGACATTCAAAAACAAAACAAAAACAAATCAGCGACCAATATAGCCACCTTTCTTTGCAAGGACACTCAAAAGCCTGCCATCCATGGATTCTGTCAGTGTTTTGATCTGTTCACCATCAACATTGCGTGCAGCAGCAACCACAGCCTCCCAGACACTGTTCAGAGAGGTGTACTGTTTTCCCTCCTTGTAAATCTCACATTTGATGATGGACCACAGGTTCTCAATGGGGTTCAGATCAGGTGAACAAGGAGGCCATGTCATTAGTTTTTCTTCTTTTATACCCTTTCTTGCCAGCCACGCTGTGGAGTACTTGGACGCGTGTGATGGAGCATTGTCCTGCATGAAAATCATGTTTTTCTTGAAGGATGCAGACTTCTTCCTGTACCACTGCTTGAAGAAGGTGTCTTCCAGAAACTGGCAGTAGGACTGGGAGTTGAGTTTGACTCCATCCTCAACCCGAAAAGGCCCCACAAGCTCATCTTTGATGATACCAGCCCAAACCAGTACTCCACCTCCACCTTGCTGGCGTCTGAGTCGGACTGGAGCTCTCTGCCCTTTACCAATCCAGCCACGGGCCCATCCATCTGGCCCATCAAGACTCACTCTCATTTCATCAGTCCATAAAACCTTAGAAAAACCAGTCTTGAGATATTTCTTGGCCCAGTCTTGACGTTTCAGCTTGTGTGTCTTGTTCAGTGGTGGTCGTCTTTCAGCCTTTCTTACCTTGGCCATGTCTCTGAGTATTGCACACCTTGTGCTTTTGGGCACTCCAGTGATGTTGCAGCTCTGAAATATGGCCAAACTGGTGGCAAGTGGCATCTTGGCAGCTGCACGCTTGACTTTTCTCAGTTCATGGGCAGTTATTTTGCGCCTTGGTTTTTCCACACGCTTCTTGCGACCCTGTTGACTATTTTGAATGAAACGCTTGATTGTTCGATGATCACGCTTCAGAAGCTTTGCAATTTTGAGACTGCTGCATCCCTCTGCAAGATATCTCACTATTTTTGTACTTTTCTGAGCCTGTCAAGTCCTTCTTTTGACCCATTTTGCCAAAGGAAAGGACGTTGCCTAATAATTATGCACACCTGATATAGGGTGTTGATGTCATTAGACCACACCCCTTCTCATTACAGAGATGCACATCACCTAATATGCTTAATTGGTAGTAGGCTTTCGAGCCTATACAGCTTGGAGTAAGACAACATGCATGAAGAGGATGATGTGGACAAAATACTCATTTGCCTAATAATTCTGCACTCCCTGTATATACAGTAATGGACTTCTATACATTTTACATCAGATTAAAACTTTGGGTGTAAGATTCAGATAATTATTTATTAAAAGCTAGACATTTTAAATGAGAATAAGAAAGAAAAGTATGTCTTTGTGCCCCCTTTTCCCTGTTCATGCCCTATCGGCCCCCCTGGCTAAACTTTGCTAGATCCGCCCCTGCACAGTTACCAGCCGTGAGCTGCGTAGAAAAAGATCCTGGTCCAGAAAGTAATATTAAATAAATTCTAACAACAGCTTATCAAGGTTAAACATTCTGCTGATGTTCAGCCGCTGGTTTCCTCTTTCTGGCGCAAAGTGGGCCAAAAACAAAGAAGAGAGACGGACTTGGACAGAAAAGCCGATCAGCTGATCATTAATCAGTTTCATGACTGAAGTAGCGCGGGAATGCTTTACAAACATTCAGATATTAACTTACACACTTGCTTTACTTCTCTCTGGGATCACTTCCTCGGAGATGAAATGCCGGTTTGGTAGGAGGCTCCAAATACACACAACCGCTCTATCACGTGAGCACACTGCTCCGACGTGCTATGGTTATGGGCCGAGTTACGCTATGTCGCAAGTTTTGTGAGGTGCTTTATTGATATTTAATGGATCGGGTTACATTTTTTATTTCTCTCCGATATCCGATCCAGTAATTTACGTCAGTATCGGACCGATACGTAATATCGGATCGGTCCATCTCTAGTAAAGACACATTATTGTTGTATTGTTTTTCAGTGGATTTTCTATCCTTAAGAGATGCCAGACATTTCCACAATCCAGATGTATAAACAGCACAACAGGCCTGAGGAAGCATATGTAAATGTGATCTTGAGGGTGAACTTTGCTTTTAATTCTTTGATTCTTTTGAACAGATCAGCAGAGGCCCGGAAACTTGGAGAGGAACTGAATGAAGCCAGAAACAGAATCAGTAAGTTTTCTCATTCTTTTTGAAAAACACATTACACTCAAGAGCTGCGTAATGTTCAGGTGCGCAGTCGTCTGTCATAGAATAGAATAGAGCCCTCTATTCAAAAGAAAGATATAAATAGTAAAGACATCATCAGGAATTAATAGCAAACAGAAGAGAGGGATATATACAAAACAAGAGAAAGGCACACATCGGAGAGCAAATTGCTGGGAAGCAGTGCAAAAGGACTTGATCATCCTAATGGAAACTAAGATACAGTTGATAAGACGCTCCATTGAGTTCTGTGGTGTGTTCTTCTGTGTTTACTTTACCACACATCAGCAGCAGAAGAGCTAACATAGCATGAAGCAAGCTAAGACCAAAGAGCGAGCAGTTTGGAGGTTCATGCTGCGATAGCAACAGCCTTTCGCTATATGTTTCAAAAGGTTTTTCTTTTTCTGTGTGTTCGGAGATACAGTGGTGTAAAAACAGTGCTTGCCCCTGCTCCTCACATGTAGGTTTGGATTTTTCCCCCTTAATAAGAAACACCTTTATTTAGAAACTGCATTTTGTGTTTACTCAAGTTATCTTTGTCTAATAGTAAAATTAGTTTCATGATCTGAAACATTTAAGTGTGACAAATATAAAAAAAAATAGGAAATAAGGAAGGGGAAAAAGACTTTTTATACCACTGTATAGGAAGAAGCTGAAAGGGCGTTGATTTGATGTTGGGAAGCTTCTGTTGTTACTATGGCAACATAACGTTCTCAGCTCGATTGATATTTAATATTTAACTAGTTTCATATTTTACTTCACCTGTTTCTTTCTGACAATAGGCGACAATAATGCAGTTTTATTTTTCTTGGATTTGTTGTCTTGTGTCTTTATTTTTGAATATTTCCCAATTTAGTTATTTTGGTCAGTTATTTTAACAAGTTCCATATTAATACATTTGAAACAGCCTGAAGATTTCCACATTTGGATTTCCGGTTACTGAAGATTCCAACCTGTGTTTTTTACTTGGCTGTCACTCTTGTGCTCTTCTGTGTAATATCCATAACGGGTAAACTTGGCATTGGCTTAGGCCAAAGCTTAGTGGTTCTAAGCCTTATGTTGTTAGTCTGGGACTATATTCACTACACAATGTGTGTCTTCTAAATGCCCACAAGTGACCCAAAGTGAAGATTAGACAGAGACTGTCTCATTTGCACTTTGTTTCTTATTTCCAAGTAAATATTTTTATTTCTGGATTCTAATTGAGTCATAATTCAAAATAATTCTTATGTATTGTAAACTTGGTTTATGAGTTCATTCTCTGCCTGAAACAAGCTGAACTAGGAGTCTGTCATACTTCCATGTAACACGACATTCTATGACACAAGATGGGGCTTCCATTAAGAACAACGCTCTGAGAATGCAGAGCCTTTTGAGGAACTGAGCTAAAAGAATTACGTTAAATAGCAACAGACATCTGAAAACATTCCAGTGATAACTTTCTTGATGTTGGCTAGATGCACTGAGTCTTCTTCTTCGTCTTCTTCGTCTTCTTCTTCTTCGTCTTCTTCGTCTTCTTCTTCTTCACTCACTATGTGTTTATACACCTCTCTGCATTTAACTATTAGTTATTACTGATCTCTCTTGTTTTTTTCTTTTGTTACTTTTGCGTTTCTTTATTTTTTGCTTTTTTTTTTTCCATTTCAGTTTTGTGCAGGTAAAAAAAACCTTCATTTTTAAAACTCCTACAGCTGTTCCATACAGAAAAAAAAAGGAAAAGCAGAGAAGGTGCACTTTAATATAGAAATCATAAAAGATGCCTTGTTAGAAGCTCAGTATTGTGTCATAACCTGCTGCTGTTTACAGAAACACTAAAAGCCGAGTCCTGTCACCGCTGGCAGTGAGTTTAAATGATATTAATGTTTGGTTGAACTTTCCAGTAAACTCAGAGCAGTTAAAATGTGTTTTTATCTGGTTTGCGTTTACTACTGCAAGCTACATTTATAAATTTCCCTGCTCTGTCTGTGGCTCATTTCACATGCCGTTGAAATGGATAGGTTTACACCAACGCCTGGCATCAGCGCTGCCTCTGAGCACGCTCAGTGGTTTAGTAGCATTTGCCCGTTAGCACCACACATGCCAGTGTACACTTATCACCCTCTGAATTAATTTTTTTTGTCTTTAGCCTTCACTGCATGAGGTGCTGACACAGTCAAATCTGTCACATGTCATGCAGAAATCAACCCTGACAGCATGCAGATTATTAACTCTTTAAATGTGTTCTGCAGACCGCACAGTGAGGCTGAAGCGAGGAAAAACTGGATTTTTACTAATTTATCCACATTCCTCATCTTACTCAAACATCTCAATGCTGTCAAAGCTTATTACATTTTTAGGTGCACAGAGCTGCATTCTTCCTGGATGAGAGATGGTGTTTTTAGTGGCTGGAAAGTGGCTCGCTGTGTTTTAATGCCATCTTGGAGGGTTTGCTCGGAAACTTTACACCACCTGTGTCTCATGGTTAAAGGAGAACATGGAAACTTTTAGGATAATATGAGGTGCTTTTTTCTAAAGGACCCAACTTGAGGGTTAGAGGAAGCATCAGTCTCTAGTCTATGCTGTATTTCTTGGCCGCACTATGATTCTAGAGATCAGTCCTACTGCAGAGACGCATTCTGAAACCATAGGTCGAAAGAAGAGATTTCTATTTAGAAAGTCACAGATGCACATCTTCTGTAGCAGGAGTATGAGACTGATGTGATTCTGAGCTCCCACTAAAGCAATTTGTGTGAAGTGGCGAGAATGAGAATCAGTACCTCAAAGTCTGAGACCGTGGTTTCATGGTTCCAGAAGGCTAAGCTTTTGATACACCTGTCAATCTATGTTTCAGTCATCATCGGTACTTGAGATCTGAGCAGTAGTCAGGAAAGTGAGCTCATGAATGCAGGTTTACACATAGGGTGAACAGTTTGGACATCAGGATGGAGCTCAGAATAAAGCTATTGCTCTTCTGTTGCTTTGGAGGTTTTCTGAGCATTCCCAATTTGGAAAGGGAGAAATTATATATGTTATCTGGATTGGGAAATTCTTGGAGGAACCAGAACATTTTGTTAGGGAGATGGACGTCTGGAATATCCTGTTTAGTCTGTTCCCAATGCTACGCTGCTATAGATACTGTATGTGCAGATTTGACCTAGATCAGTAAAACCACTGTATAAGAACGTAGATTCTGAACATTCTTATTTATTTTAATTTACTGTAGAAGAACCCCAGCTGTCATAGTCCGGGAGTGTTGGTTTTGGTTTTTGTTGGATTTTTCTTGGATTACTGTATTGATCTCTTTTATTCTACCAGATTGCAAGCTTTTCTGTGACATCTTTGAGTCTTTTCATTCTTTGTTTTACTTCATAGTTATTCTGGTGATGCCTTTCAGTTTTCCTGTGTTTTGTTTTATGTCTCAATTTTGTGTTTCTGTTTTCTGCAGCACAGTAATACTTTGCCGTATTTTTACAAGGCAGCTACAGTTCCAAATGCATGTTTGTGGAGGCAGGAGGTTGTCCTAAATCAAAATCAATAGCGCTTTCTGAATATTCAAGTGGTTTGGTTATATATTTATTCCTGAGAAAAATTTCTAAATTCCAGATTTCTTATATAATGTTCCTAGAAACACACACCTGTTTTTACACCAGTTTTAACATCCTTTGGTGGGGCAGTTCTGTTGTTTCTTACTTTGTTGAGGAATTTGGGCCAAGCATGTGACACCGTCTTTGGTATCACTTTGATTTCACCTTCGCTGAAGTGACCCACAGATGCAGGAAAAATGAGTATGGAGCCGGAGATGTGCCACACTTTTTAGAACAAATACCAGAAGAGAAATATTGTAGTCTTTGTTAACATGAGCTGCATTTTACTGCGCTGACTGTTTCTGTGATTAATTCCTGTGCTATCAGCCATATATTAAAGTGGTTTATAAAAAGTCCATAGTTTAGGTCAAAGCCTCAGTCAACAGCAGCATGAACCCAGCTGTCCTACAAAAATGGAGAATGTTTAGTGCAGCTCTCTGTTTAATAGAAACAAATCTTGCTTCCTGTGTTCTTGCGGTTCTTTATTTGTCTTGTGAATTTTAAACATTTACCAGATTACTTGTGGATATTATTCTTCATCTACACATAGGTCAGATGCTGGAAAGCTGGGCTGCAAGTATGGTGCTCAAATCTCACCTCACTTTGGTATTTATGTGGCATATCACATTCAACCTCCTGGCCACAAAAATCACCAAATATTTATTGAGGCTTGTAGCTTGAAACTAGCCTTTAAAGTCGACAGCACGTCTACTGACGGTGGTGTGGGGGGAAAACCCTGTGTGGCTTGGAAGAGTTTTTGGTGTTGAGCTCACAATCTTGTCCTGGATGGAGAATAGAAGCACTGAAGTCTGCACCCCATCTTTACTTGACAAATATCCTGGATTTTTGTTGTTGTTGTTTTGGTCTGTTTTGGGACTTGAACTGGCTTTAAAGTTTTGATTCTTTTTTATTTCTCTGATCATTGCTGGGACAGGTAAAAAAGTAAATCTGTTGTACATTAAACCTTTTGAAACCAGAGTCATATTGGGTATATGGTGTCTCCTCCCTCCCACTGATACCCTGCAGATCCTGAAGAAATAAGAGATATTTGTCCCTTGGCCAGTATTCAGTCTTTTACTGTAAACACAGTTCACACAGTCACTATTGAACATTTTCTATCTCAAACTTTGGCTGCATTTATGGTAGGTGTGGTATGGTATTTACCGGTAGTTGTTTAGGTTATTTGTCTAATCCTGGTCAAAATCATTGAATCAGCAGTTCAGTTTAATCCAATTCCATTCAATTCTATTTATATAGCGCCAGATCACAACAACAGTCACCTCAAGGTGTTTTATGTAGTAAGGTAAGACCCTATAATAATACAGAGAAAACAGACAAAACCCAAATAATCATATGACACCCAATGAGCAAGAGCTTTGGCGACAAAGGGAAGGAAAAACTCCCTTTTAACGGAAGACGCCTCCGGCAGAACCAGGCTCAGGGAGGGACGGCCATCTGACGTGACCGGGTGAGCGGAGGAAGGCAGGAGACAAAGACATGGATCTATAGACAGTAACTTTACCAACTAAAACTGGAGCATACTTAACATATTTCTTGGATTGTCTGTAAATAAGCCATATTTTTGTCCGACAGCTGCATTAAAAGTATTCAGAAAGGTGTCAAAAACACTGGCTGCGTTAGAATCTACGTCCCTAAAAATACAAACTTTATTCCTTAAAAGAATTTAAACAAGTAAGTTTTTTAAAAAAAGTTTGTTCTAGGCTGCAAAGATGGTTAGTTCAGCTTTAAAGTTTGATTTGTAACATAGGAGTCTATACAGTACTCACTTTTGTAGCCCACCTCAAGTGGACATTAGAAGTACTGCAGTTTTTGTAGTTTATTTTTCAAACCCATTTTAAAGAGATCGTTGCTTGGGTGCAGTCCATGAGCCTTTAAGAGAGATGTGTGACGAGTTTACACAGAAGATATTTGGAAAATTTATGGCTAAATAAAAGGGTGGGGCCATGCAGGGGCTTCGGGCGCATATAACAGATCTGTTAAAGAATACTTTGGCCATGACCATGTACGGATCAGAGTGAACACAAAAGTCAACCAAAAAAAAAAGAAGTGCTTTTTATGTTGCCTTCACGTGCTCCCTGCCCCTTTTTTGTACCCTGTCATCATAGCGTGGTCATGGCATAAATATTTTTTAATCCTTTTATGTTATTATGAAAGGGGTTGTGGGTCATGTTTGAGAGAGCTGTGTCTGTTAGTGAAGTTTCAGGCTGCCCACCTCACCACAACGCGAAGCCACAGGGCGTCTCAGTACAACTACATTTTCAGCTACCCACACACAACCCAGCTTCATACTCCATAGGCATTTGGAAAAACACTGTCATCATGGGCACACTGTGTCAGGGCTGCTCATTTGTAATGTTTCACATCATCCATTCATGTCTCTGCTGTCTACTGAAACCCTCAGAAAAGTGGTCCTGGAAGACGAGCTGGTTACACGGGCACTTTGCAAACAGATTTAAAGTATTCCACAGGAGAAAGCCGAGCAAGAGCTCTAATCCAACCATTTTGTGGCGTCATGTGAGGTGTTACAGAAACCCACCCCCCTCCTCCGCCCCACATACTTCATCTGGATTTCCCATTTTCTGATTTCCACTTGAGATAGGGTTGTATTATACAAAGAGCTGCAGCACAGCAGCGTCTATAAGTGAATGACACCTGTGGGACTTTAATGGAAACAGCACAGAAGATACTGCCATTCAACACTGCTTTTATCTCGTAGCCTGGCTCTGATCTAAACATGAAATAAACATGAAATTGTATCCTGTGTTCGTCTTATGGCAAAAGCATCCCTGGACATTTTTGTCCCTTTACTTACAACTGTCTTCTACTACCGAAGCGGTTTATTAGCAATTTCTCCAACAATGTAATTAAACACTTCAGTTCAGCAACAGTAAATGACTTGCCCATATGTAAAGACTGCACTATAGCCACGAGAATCAACATTCACCCGAATGCCTCCTTCTTGTTGCTTCTTTGCTTACTGAAGACTTCATTTAGAGGACTATGGAAGTTTATAAATCAGCACCATCTTGACTATTGTTCTGTTTTGATTTATTTCCTGCAGTACTGTATAGTAGATAATCATAATAAACTTGGGAAAAATTTCAACTTATGAGGTCATTGTATATAGAAGTAATCCCTGTGAGGCCTCATACTCCTCCAAACACTGTTTCACAGTTTTTTTTTCTATTCTTGGCTTGATATGATGATGATGATGATGATGATGATGATGATGATCATATAGATATTAGGCAGAGGATGAACTGAGGGGCTGTACTCACGCACTTTATAAGATAAATAAGGTAAATATGAATTATTCTGAATTGTAAGTCATGCAAAGCCAGTCTAGTAGAGTTCAAGAGTAAAAATAAGAAGTTAGAAATGTGCAGAAAAGGTTAATCATCTGGAAATAAATCATAGGTTCAAATGTCTAAGAAGAATAGAGTTTGACAGGCCAACTCCAGAGGGAGCTTTAGGATTTGCGTGAGATTGTTGATTACAGTTGAATTACAAAAACGAAGTGTGAGATTTGAAAGAACTGTTATGGATAGAAGTTTAGCTGGTGCCACTCTCAATCCTAGATAAATTGGGAGAGATCTTTCGGAATGTCTTACCAAATCAAACATGCCGATCATCAAGAGTAATGTTTGAAATAATGTTTTTTCTTCTGGGTTATAATGAGGACTCCCTGTATTAGGCAGCACATGGGTTTTAACCGTTTTGCATTGCAGGGGTTTTAAGTAGGTGAATGACAATCCAAAATGTTTCTTCATAAACAATGACATGCATTTACTTGCTTGACTTTTATGAAATCATGTGGAACCAGGCGACTTTTTTTAAGTTATGAAGCCCAGTGGCCTTGGAGATTGATGTGCTTTGAGTCTCTTGATGGAAATTTAAAAGTTTTGTTGTCGTTCTCCTTCTCTCAGCTGAACTGAAGAAGCAGCTGGATGTGCGGAGGAGACAGAGAGCCGCTTATGGTAAAAATTATTTATAACTTCTGCCCACACCAACATCTAAACAACAAACATGTGAAGCAATTAAAATTCACCACATTTCTGCACATTTCTTGCCTTTGCATTGGGATTGCAGCTTGAGGAAGTATCAGGTCTTTTTATTATCATCTTTTTGATATTGAACTCTTCTCAAAACAGGATGATAAACGCTGAGCACATTGTGGCCCCTTTTCAACTGTTACTAGTGGCCACTTCAAAGCTTTTGCAGCAAGCCTCAGTGAATGAAAGCTTACTGGCCAAAGACTGGGCGGCTCAGGCTCTAAGACGCCGTCATTTGCTCCATTCTGACTGTTTTGATCAGTGAGATAAAACCTTTGATGGAGAAACCTGGTTCTAAAGCATGCAAACACCTCCCACCAAAAGGCTTTTCTTGTTATTTGGAGATCCGCATCAGAGAGCTCTTCACAGCAGCCTGGTTTCCATTATCCGAGGCCAAAAGTTTAAATGCTTTCTTTGAAGCCAATGGACTCATGACACACACAAATTCTCAGCTTCTAATCTTGCACTTGTCATTTTATATAAAACATGACCGTGTTTCTTTTTTGTTTTTAACTCCTTTGTCATCTCTGCAACCTATCAATTCTACACCACAGGTGTCATGGAAAGTCACACAGGGTCTGAGGAGGAGTTTGACCCAGCCGAAGAAAACCTCTGCAAGCACATTGAGGAAGAAAAAAAAGGGTGAGTTTGTAGTGCTTTTTAATGAATTACTATGGCAGACCCTGCTTGCATTGACTGGATACAGCAGATCCTTCGTAACGTGGACAAAAGTTGAATTCAGTACCGTTGATTTCTCCTGTCAGTTACAAGAGCATCGTTGGCCGTCTAAAAGCGCTGAGGACCGAGATTGAACATCTGCAGCTGTTGTTGGAGAGGTCAAAGGTCAAGCTCCAGAAGGACTTCCATAAGTGGTGGAGCCAGGAAGCTTCCAGTCTGCAGGTGGCTGAGCTTACCTTCCTCTACCTATCCATGTGACAACACCACATAAAGCATCTGGGAGCCTGATGTAAAGTCCAGGGAAGAGTGTTAAAGACATGTTTGACATTAGCCTTGTCTCTGGCTTTTTGTCTTTCTGTTTATGGATGTCTTCTTTCGTTTGTTTTCTGAATGCAGGGCTCTGTGGTCGTGTAAGTTGATATGCATCTGTCTTTGACTTGTGGGGCCTTTATGGCACCAGTGTGACCCTTGCAGCCTCTGTTCAACATCATGCTCAGTCGGTCCTGGGGGGAAGATATGTAGGAGGCAAATACACACAAAGACATTTTCATGGAACTCTTTGTGACCCAAACAAGAGCCTGGAAAGCAGCTTAGAGGAACAGCAACAGATGATGGACAGTCCCAGCAGATAGCATTAACAGGAACAAAATGTCACACAGTGGAGGCAGCCAGCTAAACATAGTGGAGAACAGTTGCCATAACGCTATAAATATTGCATAAATCTTAGTAGCTAAAGATTTAGCTATTGAAATTGTTGGCTAACAGTCTTTAACAGACATGTGAAGAATAAAGTTTCCATACAGCTATGTACTGCTTCCATAGGAATTCAGAGGCTAAATAGCTGATAATCCAATTCACTAATTAATTATCAGGATGTGTGAGCAGGTTTATAAAAGCAGGAGCCTTGGCATTTTGCCGTCTGGAGCATTCAGATGTGTGTCGGGACAATGCCGCAGTGTTCGCAGAAGTGGACATCCCAGGAAATTCACCCCAGGTCCGGAGCACTCAGCGCTCAGCAAAACTGTAAAAACACCCAAGAGCTACATCTCAGTCAAATGTGAGACCATCTGTCTCACAGCTAAAGCTTGGTTCAAACTGGGTCACAGAACAGGACAACGATCCCAAGCACAGCAGCAAATCTGCAACAGAACGTCTGAAAAAGAAAAGCATCGCGGTGTTGCGATGGTCCAGTCAAAGTCACAGTGAAAAAGTTCACAGTATAGATACTAGAAAAAATTCAAATATAGTTCATTCAGTTGTACCTTTAACCAACTTTTGAGCTTTTACCGTATGATGTGTAAGTACTTTACCAGTATCTACATGGCTATATCTGTCTATGATCTCTGTGGGTAATAAGAGATAGGTCTTCACCATATGATGAAAGAATATGTTTGCAAAAGTTTAAAGAGAGAAAAGCTGATAAAATTTCATGTCTAAAACCAAGTTAGACTTGTCTCTCCACTTGCACGCTTTCCTCAGCCTTGATGGCTGTCATGTGGTTGGTTTCGGAAACCAACTGCATAGAAGATGTTAGGCACCAACATGTGATGAGGCACCAACATGTGATGAGCAGACGTCGCTGGCTGCCGCTCTTTGGTTTTGATCTTATGAATGGAGTGAATATCTCATTCGCATCTGAGAAAAGTTTGGAAATGTGTCACTGAGTGACGAATGGGAAGCAGAGGAAATCCAACAGACGGGCCTTACACATGCAGTTTGAGTCCACAAAGCAGGACGTCCTTTTTCGCGCCTGTATATATTCATCAGCTTTGTTCATACGTTTATTGTTCTGTTTTTGTTCTGCACACATGTGATTGCTTAAACTTTGTGTTATGACAAAGCCAGAAGACACAAAATACCTAAGGTTGTCTGGTCCTTTTAAAGAGAACTATGGCCACATTGCATTTAACTGTTACCAGGCTGGCATGATGTTGTTTTGTAGAGAAGTGGTACAGAAATATTTCAGTAAATTAACTTTTCATTATTTGTAACCAGGAGTCTGAGTCAGAGGCTGCAGCCCAAAGTCACACTGGGACACTGAACAGGACCATACAGCCATCCACACCTCGAGCTCCGGGATTTGGGTGAGATTGCTTTTTGCAGCCTTGCAAAAGATGTAATAAAGGTCTGGCCAGTTGGCTGGTATGCACTCTTAATATGTGTGTATTAAATAGACATTTTTAGCTTCCATTCAGCTCATATACGTATAAAAATTAGCGAAGTTATAATGAGAACCACTCTCTTTTTACTGATTTATTAATAATATTATAGTTTCCTTTTCATTTCCGTGCTTGAACACTTGATTCTTAGCCAGCAACCTGCAGCTTGTTTCTATAAAACCCTTTTTTACTTTAATAAATAGCAAACAATTGCTGGAACAATGTTAAATCAATAAAACAATGTTTTTATGTGAAAGATGCAAACAATATTAAAAGACATAAACTTCATCACAAATGTTGAAAATGATTAAAGAAATTATTAACCACCATTTTTTATAAGGAATATAGTACAAGAACTAGAAAAATGGAGCTGAGAATATGGCAGCTTTAGTTTTAACTCAGTGAACTTTGCAGAAACTCCACAAAATGTTGCTACAAACTATTTTTTGTGTTGTAGCGCCCTCTGGTGGTTGGCTCATGTACATGCATACATTTCCTACAGATGATATAATGTTCTGTGGTATTTTGCTGTCAGTCTTCATGAAATACTCTTCTAATTTTAATTAGGGCTCCTGCTCTCAGCAGTACTGTGAGAGACTCGCCAGCAGGCCGACACCTGAATCCAGATCCTTCTATCTCTGCTCAGGAGCTCAGGTCAGCTACGCTTCACTGATCCTCTCATTTATTTGCTCTGGGTACTGATGGGTTATACTGCATGTAGCCATACGATATGTAACACTATATATATACACATACACTGATTCTTTGATTTCAGAAGTTTTACCCTTGAAAGCAAACCTCCAGGACCAGCTGTGCCAGCGTGGCAGAATAACCCTGTGAACAGGAAGGTGACAGACTTCACCCCTTCTTCTGAGTGGAAGTATGTGAATCAGTGGCCTGGAACAAAGGCTGACAAATATTACAATCAAAAGAGGAGTTTTAAACTATTTCTGGCCAAAATAATCCTTTGGAACAACATATTTAGGCCCTACAGTGTCAGTGACACAGCCTTGTTAAGTATAACTTTGTTTTTTAACATTACCAGTTGGTGTGAATTTATTTATTTTTACATGTTACTAAAAAATATTTTTTCTTTTGTCACATGTAGCTACGTGGGGGGTTTTATGATTATTATCGTGTGCCCTTTAACTTTGAATCTTTATTATTAACTTCAATCTTTATTATGTTTTTAGTTTTGATGACATCGTTGAACTAATACTTACAAATAAAATGCTTACATTTCTTAAATCTCACAGGAGATCCTGTGAGATTTAATACAGATTAATGAACATAATTATGGGGGTGCATGTATTTTATTGTTTCACTTGTAAAGAATAAAGTGACAGAGCCTTATTTCCAGTATATTCTCAGAGTTCTGCCATTTAACATGTTCAGAGGAACTATTGACTTCACTCATATCTCTTTAGAAATAAGAGACATCACAGTCCTTGTATTGTCTATTGTTTATTTTTTACATTTTTAAAACAAACTGAAAGTTCTTTGGATTTATTGTCGACATTTTGAAGCACTTAAATCTGTATATAGACGTGTAGATTTTATAGATTTGCAGTGTTTTTTTTTTCTTCAGTCATGAGCACGGCTATGATTTTTATATCTTTGTGAAGTAATGTCTACAAACTGTGCTAACAAATCAAACAGGCCTCACTGCTGCCTGAGCTACCTTTTTACGATCACAGTTAAACACTCGTGCTTTTGTTCCACCAGCACAGAGACTGCATTGTTACCTGTTTCTTATAAACCTCTGCATTACGAATAGTCAAGAATAACAGGACTGCTGGGTTGTTAAAGCAATGAATGATGATGGCTGCCTGTCACAGTAACTATTCATACATTTCAGGACCCTCACCTCTGCCACAGTCTCATCCTCTATTCCACTGACTGGAGACCAGCAAACTGATGCTGACATCCTGGCTTTTATCAGGGCTAGGCAGAATCTCGTCAGCAGGGCAGGTAACACACACAGATACACACATGCAAAAAACGCACCTTAAGCACAGTATGCATTATGCATTCAACACCGCCCTCTGCTGGCCTGACAATAAAGTTTAGCTTCTCTCAGGACTTTTCGTAGCTTTCTTTATCCTCGTTTTCTGTCCACTGAGGGAATAAAGAGACTTGTTGCTTCCACTTCTCTGTCACAGTGTTACATTATGGTCACAGACAGCATACATATATGGTGGACACTCCTTTCACAAAGCCCTGAGGTTTATTACAAACCTTACTTACCAGCTTACATTCACTACAACTTAGGGAGCTAGTCTTACTGAGCGAATTTGAGGTTGAATTAATTCAATAATTGCTTGAACATTAATATTGAATACAGTATTTTTGCTGTATGGATTCATGTGTGTTACTTGAATGCTATCTCTCTTGGTCACGACACTGTTGCAAAAAAGATTTTTAATCTCAGGAGTTATCGAGAAAATAACTGCTGACTTTCTTCTTGCTTGTTTTCTTGCTTTATTAGTTTATTAAACTGTTTTTCTTCATCTTTTCTTCCATCATTATAGCTTTCGCCACTAAATGTTTACCAACTTGTTTCCTTTTTCATTTTACTCTTTTATTTTTTGCTTTCTTTTTTCATTACCTGTTTTCTATCTTTCTTTCCTCGACTTTATTTGGGCACTACCAGTGTCAATTTTTACTCTTTCTATATTTATGTATACATCTTCCCAAAACACCTTCCAAGACACTAGTGCGTTCTGGGAAGTGTAGTAACATTAGCAAAGGCATTTGAACATCGCCACACAATAGCTTATTCTAACTTTTTCTTTGTTTTCTGAATTTCAGGCAAACATCAGCAGTGATGTGTTTCAAGTATGACCTCCACGTGTCACGGCGAGTGAGATGAGCCGTGTGGAAAATAAAGGAGGATCCAAACGCAGGCACTTGGTAAAGGTGTGATGGTGGTTTATTAAACACAAAATAAAAATGGACAAAAGGCGAACCGAACAAAGACTAAACTATACTGGGAACAAACTGAGTACAGAACACGAACCTGAACATGAACGAGAGCGAGCAGAAACCGATTGACAGCAGGGAAACACACAGATGAAGCAGGGTGGATACACAGACGGACCAGCAACTACAAACACAGAAGACACGACTTAAATACACTCAGAGAATCACAGGGAGATTACACACAGGTGGGAGACACAGCTCGGAGTCATTAACGAGACGAGAGGTAAAACTGAACACACTCACATGAGACGCAGACCTTCACAATAAAACAGGAACAAGAAACCATCACACTAAGACGCAGACTCGACATTGAGAGACAGACAGAAAATGACACATGGAGCTAGACATATACTAAGCAGACACAACCGAAGAACAAATCCTAAACACAAACAGAAACATGAAACTCTAATAATAAACATCATAATCATCATCATTAACACAACAAGAGAACAAGAAAACAATCCCTGATGCAAAATTAAACCAAAACATAATAAACTCAAAATACTGGGTGGAAACTGACCCAGAACTGTGACACCACGTCTACCAGTTGAAATAATTACTCATGACCCGGTACATGGGTACTAGGCTTCTCCAAGAAATACAACACACACACACACACGCACACATTATGCCTGCTGTCAAATGTGCACACTCAGTTACTGGCTTCTTCCTGGTAATGACGTGATATAATGGTCATGAGTGGAAATCACAGCCTGCTCCGACTGTTTGACAAATGTTGTCTCAAGATATCAGAAGAAGGAGCGGCCAGTCGGAAGCCGGCTCCTCCAGTTTGTGGAAGTAATGAATCATAACTATGTAAATGATGCAGAAACAAATAACTTTCATATTTCCATCTAATTTTACTTTATTCAAAAGGGGTGTAAAAGTGTATAATATCAGGACATTTCCTATTTAAAATGTACAAAAAAAATGAAGCAGAATTGTGCGATGCTATGACACACACTACTGCTGTTCTTACTTCTGAGTTTCTTGTTTTGTGTATTAGTTTTAAACTCTCCACTCTGCCTGCCTTGTGATTTAAAATCCACAGATCATAGCTGTTGATGCACAAAGCTCATTTTCTTTTGCCATTTATATTAGTAATAAATCTTTTTTCATGAGTGCTTCCTTATTTCTCTTTGATAATATGTAATAGGTGTAACAGTGGCTTTTTTTCACTTTGGAATTTAACTGGAAAAGTGGAAAACCACTGTCAACTATAGTTCTAACAGCTATACTGAAAAAATTAGAGTATCTCTTAGGTCTCCCTGAAATTTGAAGATGATCTGTATGAGATCATATAAGCAAAAACAGTTTTTGTGCAGCAGATTTAAAATTACATCAGGCATTCACTCGGACCCTCAGATAGTCTCTCAGTCTTGTTCTCTAAAACTTAAAGACTTAGGAGAGCCCGATTCTCCTGCAGAGATGTTTGCTGCTGTTGCGTCATTTCCTGGCGACACTCTCGTTGGACAGCATTGAACGAGATCTACCTATTCTGGACCATGATAACAGTATTCTGGCTGATTGGAGCTGGAGCGGACCTGGCTTATCGAAGAACAAAAAAAGCGGTTACAGCTGTTCAAAACCCCACAAGGTTGGCCAACACGATTGACCATGGTCAAGCCGTGAGTACTCAGACTGTGTTTACTGAACGCAATATTGATAAGATCTTGGAGAAGCTCACGGCTCTGCATCGGGAATTGAGAGACCTGATGACCAGTGATGGACATTTAGACCAAATGCGAAATTGGAATGCAGTTGTTAATTTGAACCCAAATAACCATCTCCTTCATGCAGCTACTCAAGACTGTCAAGGCCAAGACTGCCCAAAACAACAAATTTCCCTGATAACAGGACTGTGTTTTGACTATCTGCTCCTATACTTCAAGGTCACCTGCATCACCTGGAGGACTGTTGACTTTTGCTTAACCGGGTGAAAGGACACTGTTTCAAGTTGAACACTGGTTACACACACACACACACACACTCAAATCTCTCATGTACACAGACACACACTCACCCCCCTCCCAATGCCTCCGAACCTTTACTCCCATCCAAATCAGGCAGGCAGATCTGTCCAGCACTGGAAGACTGGCAGCAGGACTGACTCCTGAGCCCCTCCTTCCCTTTGCACCTAAAGCCACCTGTGTCTGTATTCACCTGTCACTAAGGAAGCCACACCTCTAATTAATGTAAACTTTAAGCCTTAACATGTTAACAGGCTGTAAACATATCTATTTCTGCTATGAAGTTTGACATTAACATAGGAGTTACTTTTGGAGCCAGCACCAAGTGGACGCTACAGGAACTGCAGCTGATCTGAGCTGCTGTTCAGGGAAATGATGCCAGCACGCACTGTGCCAAAGGTAAAGAAACACCCATGGAGAAGTGTCCAGTCGGTAAAAAGCTCTATTCAGATTGTGTTACAAACTCTTCTTGTTGGATTCTGAACTAAATAGTTATTATTAGACACAGAACAGCGAAAGCTCTTGACACACCCTTCATTTCTTTATATTATACTTTCAAGGAGGAATTGAGAAATTGTTGTCCAGTCTTTCTGAAGTTCTTTCTGAAGTTCTTTTGTGGCCATTGGCTATTTTTTCACTCAGGTAATTCCTAGTTAGGTAAAAGTTTGCCATGTCTTTGCATGGTGTGCAGTGTGTCCTTAAAGATTTTGAGGAAACTAGACAAGCGATTAGACAAAAGAAGTAGTGCCAGGCCTAAAACCTATAGCAGGTGAACACTATCTGAAAGTCGTGTCCTTTGAAAAAAAAAATCCAGAGCTGATTGGTAGCAGCTTCCTCTTTCAACATGACACTGATCCCAAATTTCAAATGCTAATGTGAAAGTATGCATGTAAAAATATAGAGTGAAACAAAGTCAGTCATGTATTAGCCTGCTGTGACCCAGACCTCATCATTATTGAAACAGTGTGGGATCATCTACATCTGCCAGAGAACAAAAAAAGCAACCACCATCCAAAAAAAGAGCGTTGGATGTCTTTCAAGTAACCCGTAGAACTATTTCTGAAGACTCCATAAAAAATTGACAAGGAAGTTTAAAATAGAGAGTTCAGGCTGTGTTCAATAATTAAGGTTTTCTTACTAAATACCGACTCATTAGACAGTTTTTGTCTTATATACTGTTATTACATGCATGTTTCTACATGTTAGTAAATCACTGCACCTATTTCCACAGTAAGCAACGATAATATAAGTTTTAACTTGAGGCTTGTTTACAGCTATCTCAGGGAGATTGTCAGGTTTGAAAAATAAAAAAATCAATATCTCCATCAGCATCAGCTAATAAGCTGTGTCTGCCTACCTAGCTACCTCAAAGCCATTTGTCCAAACAGAGACGACCTGTCAACAGGTTTACATGGCTTTGCATCAATTTGTTTGACACATGCACACTTTGCATCGAGGCTGAGTGGCTTTGGAGCAAGGTCCTTTTTCGATCACGTCATTACATCTGTTATTTCCCTCGGGAACATCACTTCCGATCACTGGGTTCACTGGTATTTGTAATAGAGAGGGTGTTCCCAGGAAGAAAAACTGCCTAATTAGAGCTGAAGCATGTTTTTTTTTTTTTAATAAAAATAAAATGTGAAAACTGTGTAAATCTGCAGAGAATACAATAATCTAAAGATTGATCTAAAGTTGGTCATGGAAAAAAAAAATCTTCTGACCAACAATGACATGCATTTTTTCTTCTTCTTCTTTTACACCCCCCACCGAACACTTTAAGGGATGTGCTAGGATTACTGCACTTCCCAGAATGCACTAGTTCCTTAGAAGCTGTTTGACTTTGCGTACTCTGCTCATAAAAAAGGACAACTTTTAAATTTTAGTATAGCATCAAGTCAGTTAAAACTTTGGGATACTGATCTGTTCAGTGTCTGGTTTTAATTAAATTAAGAACAGGTGCACTATATGAGACAACCCACAAAACAAGGAGGAGATTCCAGTAGACGGGAGGTTAGTCTTGGAGAGCTGGATGGGGGTATAGAAGGTCCTGAACCTATCAGCAGGACTGGTATCTGCTCCTTTGTGCAAGGAAGAACAGGCCAGAACCCTACAAAATAAACTCCAGCAGGCCAGACAATCAAAAACAGACTTCATGAGGTGGCCTGATGACACAATATCCTTTAAAGGGCCCTGTGCTCCCTGCACTGTGGAGCCCAGTTGCTCCACAGACTGTCCAGGAGCTCAAAGATGCCCTGGTCCAGATCTTGGAGGAGATCCCCCAGAATACTATCTAATTATCAGCATGCCCTGATGTTGTCAAGCATGCATATAAGAACATGAGGACTGTACAAACCACTCAGTCCCTTTAACTTGCTGGAGTGAAATCTCAGAAAAATGGTCTGAAGCATCATTTTTTCCTGCTTTGATTTTTGGAGTAAGATCAGTATACTTTCCTAGTGAGATTATGGTCTTAGTCACTAGTGTTATTCCAATAAAATACAACATGATGTTCAGTTTGTAAATGATGGTACTGTTATGTAAAGTATAAAGAGGATAAAAGGGTGGTGCTCCTTCATAACCATGTAATATCAGTTCAAAATTCAAGACGACAAAAATGTTGAACTCTTTGCTTTAAAACAGGAAATCACAAAACACTGGGTAACATCCAGTACATTTTTTATATGACAGAAACCAAAACAGTAAATATTTGACATCTGTTTGATTAATTTTTTTCCAGATGCCTCTAAATAATTGATAACTTTTGGCTGTGTAAGCCATATACATGCCTAATGGTTGATGCTGTTTTCTTGATGTGTTGACTTTTTATTTTTAATTATTGTAACCTACGTGACTGAAAAACTAAATCCTGTTTAAGTTTCTCCTTAATAATCATAATGAGCACAGTCAGAGCCAAAATTTGGAATAGGCATGTGGGGAAACCCAAAGTTATAGAGGTAGGTGAGTCTGGGCTTGTGTACAGACTGGGATCAGATGGCCTGTGCTGCCACTGGTCAAACATTAACTTCTGTTATGCTGACAAGATGTTGCTCCCTTATTAGTGGAAACAGTTGGAAGTGTATGTGTGTGCCCAGATGTCACTAATGGAGGTGAAGTAAGTTTGGCCATTACCCAGATAACCCATAAATTCACAGGACTCTGATCAACCAGAATGAGACCTGATAACCTATCGACTCAGAGCTTCACCAAACATTAGCCTGCCCTCATCCTGCTGTGATGTAGAAATGCTTTCTCCTTAAGCAAACCGATTTCGTTGCCTGTTTTCAAAAAGAATCTCACGCTGAACGAGGGTTTGTCTTTCAATTCTTTCTGAACTAAGAAAAAAAACAACCAACTCTTCCAACAAGTTTGTTGATTGGTATCGTATCCTTTCTGTTGGTGGCGGGAGGTCAATGGCGAGCTTTCACGTGGTGCGGGTCAGAGTGAGCTGGACGGCTCTTTTGGCTCTGGCCCATTTCATCTACCTGCTGGCTGGAGCCACCATCTTCCGAATACTGGAGCGAGAGGCCGAAAACTACAATCGAAACCATTTTCTGATGGAGAAGTTGAATTTCTTAGCAAATTACACCTGCTTGGATGGAGACGCCTTGGAGTACTTTGTTAAGGTCTGGCATTTATTACACTGTCAGCATGTGTTTGATAGTCCCAACTTTACCAACACAGTGATGGCAAGGCAACAGCAAGGCAATTCAAAGTGCTTTACATTAAAAGATAAAAGGTATTCATGTAAAATGAGCAACATTAAAAAAAATGTAAGAGCTTCTAGATAGAAAATAGACTGAAATATATGTAATTTAACATAAAATAATCTGAAATGAAAAGCAAAGAGAAAAAGTCAAAAATGAATGCTTCTTCTCCATAGTTTTAAATCATAGTTTTAAAAATGATGTGCCCAGGAAGCCATCAAGATACTTAACCCTGAGTTCCTTCCAGTGCAATAATAAATCATTAGATAAGGCACTTAAGTATAGAATAAAGTGTGTGTATGTGAGTTGAAGGCTTGACAGTAAGTAGCTTTGAGTGCTCATTTAGATTAGAAAACTGTAATTTACTTGCCTGGCTACTTATCCTAGGAGACTGTCACAGACAACCTGATGGGTCTGGATGGTTAAGAATGTACTGGGAGGTCAGTAGTGCTTCCAAAAACAGAAAGTGAATGAACAATTGTATGATTATGGACGCAGTTTCTTGCTACACCCATACCCCTCACATCCACAATGTAGCTAATAAGACCAAGCTCTTGAGCCGTACACATACATGCAGGAGACTTTAGATTAGATTACATACACCTGGTTGGACCCACTTTTGCCCTTTTTCTTTGTGATATAGACTCAACAAGTTGCTGGAAACAGTCACGAGAGATTTTGGTGCATGTTGACATGATAGCATCACACAGTTGTTGCAGATTCCAGCCCACTATATCCCAAAGACGTTTTATTGGATTGAGATCTGGTGAGGTCATTTGAGGAGAGTGAACCTTGGTTATAACAAATGCTTTCTCACCACTCTCCAATCAGTGATCCTGGAGAGTGGGAGGAAAATCCCAGCACGTCAGCAGTTTTTAAAAAATTCAGGCCTCCTTGCCTGGCTAATTAATATATGTGAGTAGTTTTTCTACCAATTTTAAGTTTGTGCTGCATCTTTACATTATCAGACTCTACCAAAGTGTTCAGCATCAGATCTAGTGCCATGATAAATGTCTATCAACACCATAAATGTTAATAATGCAATGAACTACATATCTAGTGATGTTACATGAGAATCAATTATTACACTACAAGCTTTTTTAACATCATGATAATAACGCTTTTAGAAGATGCAGCCTTAAATGCATCTCAACGGACATTAATCAGTTAAACTATGTAAAAATAGATTCTGCTGTTGTCAGATACAGGACACAGTGAATACAGGATTATAGCTGCTGGCCCCACCATTATGTTAAATACATGGTAATAATAGCTGACTGTAACCTGACCTAATGAGTCATTTAGTGTGTTCTAATCTAAAATATTTGCCAGTGACATTACTGGCTCCCTTTAGTGTCATGAGTCATTAAATGTTCAGGCACATTTAATCCTGATTTTACTATCTCTGTGCTTGCATTTGTGTGTGTGTGTGTGTGTGTGTGTGTGTGTGTGTGTGTGTGTGCGCGCGCGCACAGGTCATTTTATATGCCAAGAAAAATGGAGTAAATCCTTCAGGAAACTCCACAAACCCCAGTAACTGGGACTTCAGCAGCTCCTTCTTCTTTGCAAGCACAGTCATCACAACTATTGGTGAGCACTTTCACATTTCAGTTTTCCCATTTGTGGGAAATGCCTGCCCCGCTTAATAACGGCTCCTTATCTGGTTCACAGGCTATGGAAACCTCTCCCCAAGCACTGTGTCTGGCCAGGTGTTTTGTGTGTTTTATGCTTTCTGTGGGATTCCCCTGAACCTGGCCTTCTTCAAACAGCTGGGGAAGTGTTTCACTATCCACCTGGGGAGGCTGGAGAAGGGACTGGTCTCAGTTGTTCCTCACAAGGTACCGCTTCATGTCCATTAGCTACAGCATGGAGTTAAATTTTTTTAGGGATCACATCAAATCAAAATTGTTTATAAGCACATTTAAAGCTAACATAGGTTGGCCTATCATCTAGTACAGTCTAGTGAAAAAGCCAAAGAATAAAAATGAGGTGTTAAAATGTCCAGTGTTGATGAGATTCTGATGTGAAGAACCTTATCAGCACCATCAGTGGTCACCACGACATAAAAATGACATGTATAGAAAGAAACTTCACCAACTTTCCAGCATTTTTGTTTCTTTGGTAAACTAGCTGGGAGCCCATGTAAACAAGCAATACAGGTGATAAGCGCCCTCACACTTTCACATACCACTTATTTTCCTAACCTTCACCAGGTAACTGCTGGCCAATCTAGGGACAGGGTTAAAGTTTGGTAAACAATCACATCTTTTTATAGATTTTGCGCCTTTTGGAACACCGAAGTGGAAAAGCTTTAAAAAAAAAACAAAAAAAAAACAACTCCTGGCTAAAACCTCTAACACCAAAATGTTTCTTTTAGCTTCTGAAACTATACCTTTTTTAACAGCTTTGACAAAACCTAATCTTACACAGCTCCCATGTGAATTGGCAGATATTACAAGCCAAGCATCACATTTCTGGACCTGCTTCAGATACTGAAAGCAAATACTGGCTTAAACAAAATATTACAGAAATACTCTAACTACTCTGTTCATTTGTTTATCAAATACTAAAGTGCTGCCAAAAAGACATCAACATTTGTTGCATTGATTGGATGTGTAGGCCACAGCATGCTGATAGCCTTTATCTCTGTGTATAATATCAAACCTTTTGTCCTTTGCAGCAAGCATTTGAGGCTGTTGCAGCGAGTTTGTTCTTTATCGCTGGCACTTTCCTGTTTCTGGTCATCCCCCCTCTGCTGTTCAGTTACGTGGAAGGCTGGACATATGGCGAGGGCTTCTACTTCGCCTTCATTACCCTGAGCACCATTGGCTTTGGAGATTATGTGGTGGGTGAGTAGAGAGAGCAAACAAACAGCACAGAAGTCAACCTAACCTTTGTGATTCTATCCAGTGGACTGTAAAAGGCATTTGGACGTAATGTCTTTGCAGGTACCAACCCTGGAAAGACCTACATCTATCTGTACCGCAGTGTTGCAGGCATTTGGATCATCTTTGGCCTCGCTTGGCTCGCTCTCATCTTCAACATGGCAGCTAGTATAATGGAGCATGTGCTGGACCAGACTTACCCGAGCCTCAGGAAACAAAGGGAGGCAGAGAACATGCCATCCAGTGAAATAGAAGCCACATCAAAGATCTGAAAATGGACTGCAGATAGCACCATATACAGTGCGTAAAATATATTTAGCGAGACTGTGCTAAAATAGACAAAGCAGGATGACTTCTACCTCATTCAGGCCACACAATCGGTGCTTTAAATATTTGCGTTGAACTGTCATAAAATGCAAACAGTTCACACAAATAACACTGTTCTAATTAATTCTAATTATTCTCACTGAGAGCAAAATGTTTTACATATTATATACAAAGTGTGCTCAGAAAGTTATGAGAACAGGTTGACAGAAGGGGGAAAAATCAAAAGCCTGACTTCATTTAAATGTGGCCAATCTCCCATTCAGCACTATTTTCTCATGCACCTCTGGACAGATTTTAGATCTCATTGCAGAAGTCTTCTCATTTCCCTTTCCCCCCTTTATTTTGTGATCTCCTCCAGTTTGTCAAAATCAAAACTTAATGGAAAATCTGACAAGTGAGTCAGTTGGCATCTTAAGATTGTGCAGGTGTTCTTGCACACAGTTCATGTTTTTGTCACATTTCCTCCCTCACAATAATTGGGATGTTCTTCCAGAACTCTGCACTGATGGGTCCAACCTGAAGGGAACATTCATGCTGTAAAACACTAGAGGCAGTGTGAATGTGGTAACAATGCCATGATATTTCATACTGCACTCATGGTAGCTCCCAAGTCCCTACTGGGTCAGCTCACATTTTTGCCCATGTTATTCCATGTGTTGGTATCAGTATAGGTTAACATCCCTCCTATTAGCGCTCTACTTAGCTTCAGCTCTGAAATCTTCAGGAGTACCACCAGTGTGATTGGTTGGTAATGGTTCTCCAAGAACTGACTGCCATTAAAAAAAATAAAACAAATGTAAGTATGTGACTTGCAAAATAAAAAGTAGCCATTCTTCAGAAACACAAGTTAAGAAGATCAACTTTTTCAGTGTTAGTCATAAAACAATTAAAGGCACCGCCATAATGAGCTGACTCTCAGCATTAGAGCCTTTCTTGTTTTGTAAACATTATTTCAACATTTTCTTAGATGATCTAGTAGAGAATGTGTTTACTCAGGCGGAAATCATGTTTTCTGCTACACGTTTGTGTTTTTTATTAACTCTTGTGTGTGTGCGTTTCTCTGAGAGCATGTCTGCATTTGTGTAGTGATGGAAAATTCAGGTGAATTGAATGCAGAGGGCTATCTTAGACAAACACATTAATCAAAATGGTGAAGTGAGCTGTAAAAAAAAAAAAAAAAGGATGGCTTTTACCTGTCCCACTTTTTAGTTTGTTTTAAATCCATTCAACACTTACTTATTTTTGGTTATGGAGCGGTTTGGTTTCAGAGACCCTTTTATTCAACTGATTAAAAATTTATATTATTTACCTTCAGCAAGAATAAAAATAAACGGGAGCTTAACTGGAGTAGTGGACTTGCAGAGAGGATGTCGGCAGGCATGTCCGCTTAGCCCAGCCTTGTTTGCTTTATTTATTGAACCGCTGGCGCAAGCTATTAGGGAGGATGAACAAATTAAAGGGATATGGATACGGAATACGGAATATAAAACGGGTTTATTTGCAGATGATGTTTTGCTGACCCTCACAGACCCAGAAAGAAGCTTACCTAAGTTATGGTCAAAGATGGAAATGTTTGGAGAACTTTCCGGATATAAAATAAACATTCAAATAAACACAGGTGATCACATACAATTATTTACCCACAACAAAGATCAAAAATCTGTCTAAATTCATACAAATAAAATAATTAAATATTTAGGTATTAAGATTCCCAAAACACTGACAGAAATCTGTGAATTAAACTACTCACCAATTACAAGGGAATTGAAAGAAAACATTCAAAGGTGGAGCCTACTGCCACTTGATCTGTATAATAGGATTGACCTGATCAAAATGAATATACTTCCGCTACTGCTTTTCCTTTTTCAATCTATACCAGTACACATACCAGCCAAACAATTTGCGTTATGGAACAGAATGATTTCGGATTTATATGGAAGGGCCGTGAACCCAGAGTTAGGTATATAACATTGCAACTACCTAAGGAAAGAGGTGGACTTTCCCTCCCAAACTTAGAAAGTTATTTTAAAGCAGCACAATTAAGATATTTAATTTATTGGTGTGATCCGTCGTACGAAGCAAAATGAAAATATTTAGATGTGACAAAATTAAAATTACCACTACAGACAATACTAGGAGATAAAAAATTATATTTGGAACAGAAAAATAATTTAAACGAATGGACTAAAACTCCTTTAAAGATATGGTTTGATGAATGTGAAAGTCTTAAATCAGGAGCTGGTCTCAAACAACTCAGATGGGTCACACATGATAAGGAATTTATCCCTGCACAAATAGATAGACGTTATACAACTTGGTTAACAAGGGGGATCGGACCATTTTGCTCATTGTTAGGAAAAGAAGGATTGCAAAGTTTTGAAAAATTAAGAGACACCTACGGTTTGGAAAACCAAGATTTTTTCATATATCTCCAAGTCAGGTCCTATTTCAATAGTAATATAAAAACTACAGAAGAACATAGTGAAGGCCTAGTCCCCGTTATAAAAGAAGCTTATAAAGGTCAGATTAAAAATAAATTGATTGCTAAACTTTATCAGAACTTACAATCACTTAAGGATCAATCAACCAATTATATCAAAATTAAATGGGAGATGGAGGCTAAAATCAACATATCAGAGGACAGTTTGTTAAATATATGCAGGACACAGATGGAAACTACTAGTTTGGGTTACTGGAGGGAATTCACGTGGAAAAATTTTATTAGGTTTTTTATAACACCCAAAATAAAATACAAACAAAAAGGTCAACTGACAGATGGACAATGCTGGAGAAACTGTGGGGAAAACATGGCAGATCATTTTCATATATTTTGGAAATGCCCAATAATCCAACCATACTGGAGTGAAGTGGTCGAATCAATTTACTTGGTGACTGGTCTCAAATTAAACTTGGATTTCTGTACTGTGTATTTGGGCGATATCCCATCAGCAGCCTCCTTAAAGGACAAATATTTGATAAACATCCTGTTGGGAGCGGGCAAAAAAGCGCTTACCAGGAGGTGGCTGGAGAAAGAGCCCCCAACAAAGAAAGATTGGATAGGAATAATGGAGGAAATATATAGAATGGAAAAACTTACTTTTTTTTTTAACCTCAAAATGGACCAATTTCATAAAAACTGGAGGAAGTGGGAGAGATTTGTTGAAGGTGGTAATGTGGGATGATGGGTGGTGGGTTATATAACCAGAGCTTAACTAAGTATTTTCACGCAACTACTGGAAGAAGGAAGGCCTGCTAAGGACGTGGTCACTGTTTTTTAGAAGGCAGCTCATAAAAGAGACTGGAAATACCCTTCCGAATATCATCAGGGATGGACTGTAAAGTGCTGCGTGGACAGTAGCAAAAACCTGACGACATGGGACCTGTAAAGAGGTGGAGGGGAGCTCCCCCAGACCGGGCAGATCTGAGGGTTTCACTGTTTTTTTTTTTTTTTATTTTGTTTTTTTTTTTTTTTTTTTTTTTTTTTTTTCTTTTTGTGTTTGTTTGTGTGTGTTTTTGTGTGTGTGTGTTTGTGTGTGTGTGTGTGTGTGTGTGTCTGTCTGTCTGTCTATCTGTCTGTCATGTGTGTGAGACATTTCTTTCAATTTAAAAATTAAAAAAAAATAAAAGCTTCAAAGGAAGAAAATGAATATCTAGGTTGGTTTTCTAGATAGCTGAGGATCGTAAATCCGATAGCACTAAGCTGGGTGCGCCGCTTCAGTCCCTGTAATGTTCGAACAGTTGCTGGTAATTTGAAAAAGCCTTAATAATAGAATATTAACTATCCCCATATATTGTGGTGTATATGTGGTGGATAGAGGGGGTGTTTGCAACAGGTTTTTTGTGCCGGAGGTTGAAGAACTATGGTTTTTTGTAAATAGAAGGAATGGAAGATAAATGCATGTTCAATTTTCACATATTATAGTATTTATTTGGGATTTATTATTTTTTGTGAGTTTGGGGTTATATTATAATGTTTTAGTGTAGATATATATGTTTTGTGTGAGTTGAGTGTTATACTTTGGTTGTGGTGATGTGTTATGATTATTATGGTGATATATGGAGGGTAGGGGTTATATATATAGGTGTTATAGTTAGTATGATTTGTTATAGTGATTATTATTGGTAATATAAATGTGGTATAGTAGTTAATTTATGGTGGATGTATTATGGAGTGTGGTTAGATATAATATGATGTAGTATGTATATCGTTATTTTATCTTACTTACTACTAGCATCGGTTGTTTGTTGGGTTTGTTGTTGTTGGTTGGTGTTGGGTGTTTCACTACGACATAGCATCACGATAGTTATACATCATCACATCGATCACGACAGCCAGCAGATATTGTGTTACACACGTGCACTACTGACGATCAATTGCAGTTTGGTTTCATATTATTATATCAGCAACCATCTATCTACATCGACATATGAATATTATGCATTCTACACTCACACACACACCTATATAATATCACGATTACGACATATTAGAGTGTGACACACATCAGTCACACACCAGCACACATTTACATTCACACGAACACGCACATTACACGAGCACTACATTCATCACAGCGAGCATCATTTCTTATCTATTATCTATATAGTGGCACATCGACAAACACTATCATATCGCACTTCCCACCAACAGCACACAGCATGAGACACTTATTCACACATGTCATAACTTACATCACACATATATATATATGTATGATATATATATATTAATGTGTGTATATATTCAGATTTCACCTATTTCTTATAATGAGCACAATATATAACTTTAGGGGTGCAACGATACACAAAATTCACGGTTCGGTTCGGTTCGATACTTTGGTGTCACGGTTCGATATTTTTTCGATACAAAAAATGTTCATGCCTTTTTAATTTGTCATTTATTAAAATTATAAATATATATTTTAACTCAAAAGTACAGTTTTTAAATTTAACCCTAACCCTTGTGCGTGTTTTTTATTTTGACAGCGAATGCGCACCTGCGGACCACTTATGTGCAGCCCTGGTTATTTAGCTCGTCATATTGCAGCCACAGAAATTATTTTGTCCATGAAACCATAAAGCTGCACTTTCTTTTTGCCTTATAGTCTGATTTGTCATAACTTTTCCGTTTTGTGGTAAGCTTTTCTTTGGCTGTCACTTCTTCACCCTGACCTGTCTTATTTGGCTCAGCAGAACTGAAATGCTTTTACACACTCACTCACATAAGCTCAGCGATTCTCTGCGCGATCAACCTCTCACATGTTTAAGCTTGCTGCGGGAGATTTCACTTGTCATGTTTGCATAGTAAGCTAACGATTGATAAGACGATGTCAGAGGAATTGGTGCACAAATTATCATCACTCACAGATCAGTGCTGTCGCTCTCTATACACAGTTCGCACGAAAGCAAAAAAACAAGCGCAAATTCAAACGCGATTTCAATATGTCACATATTGACAGTGGCTCACCGATGCCAATGACATAATTACCCAGCTACATTTCTGAAAGAATGCAAAAGCATTGACATATATTTTTCGTACAATAGCCCGACGGGCAGGGAAGAGATAGATTTTGGTAGCCCGACTGAAAAAATCGCTAGCTCCGGGACGTCGGGCTAGCGATATTGCAAGCCCTGTATCTGATTGAGGAATCACTCATCTTTGGAAAAGAGAGTTTATTACAGAGAAATGTCTCTTTCCAAAATAAAAGCTATACTATCCGCTTCTTCTGGGCTATATTCTCAGCAGCATAAGGAGAATCATGTGCTAACAGCTGTCTAAATGACTCGGCTAAAGTTAGTAGCATGCTTGTTGTTTTTGTCTTTGCACTAGGATGATGTCGGCGTAAATGTGCAGTCATATTCGTTGTGTTCCCACTAGTGCTTTCAGGTTAATCTCGTTGAAATGACCTTAACGCCACAACACGGCAAATCTCCGTTAACGAGCTACCGCCGATCGCCCCGTGCATGGGGCTAGACGGCCAACACGTTAACGAGCTAACTGCGCTAACACACTAGTTCCCACCCATGTAATTGAGCATTGCATGGCACATCCAACATACTGTTTTACTTTAGTCCATGACTCGCTTACCTTCAGGGTCATACGTCACATGAAAACCAAAATAATTCCAAACGCCAGATCTGAATGAGGTTCAATTTGCTTGTTGCAAGCAGAGCTTAACTTCTGTCTCACTAGCTTGCCCTGCGCTCTTCCTTCTGACTATGCTGTCTGTGTTGAGCGCTCAGTGGATCTGCGCTCGACAGTGCAGCCTAGGCGGAGTAGTCGAACACAGATTCACTGAGCGCTCAACACAGACAGCATCGTCAGAAGGAAAATTGATAAAATAAATTACAAATGTTGTATTGTTCGATACATATGCGTACCGAACCGAAAGCACTGTATCGAACGGTTCAATATCGATACGAATATCGTTGCACCCCTAATATATAGTGTAGTATGTATATATATATATATATTGTATATATATATAGTTATATACATATATTAATATTTTTACTTGTTATGAGGCTTGATATTTAGATAGATTTGGTTAGTATTAATATATATATATGTTAGTTTTGTATATAGGTTAGTTAGTTTATATTAGTGTGTGGTGTTTAGCGTCTTTTTTATGATGTAAGGTGGCTTTTTTGCGCTAGTTCTGAAGCTTGTAGAGTTTTGTCTCTCTCCAACCAAAATTTATTGAACCTACGAGCAAAAAGTAGATCCAAAGCTCTGTCATTTTGCTTACATACGTGGAGATGCATAAGTTTGGGCAACCTTGTTATGTCATTTTTACCCAAATTTATGCACCTGCCTGATTTTGTTTAAACAATTATTGCACACTTTCTGTAAATCCAATAAACTTCATTTCACTTCTCAAATATCACTGTGTGTGTCTCCTATATGATATATTTAACTGACATTTTTTATTGTAACAACCAACGATTTATACAGGAAAAATAATGCCTATTAACAAGGTTGCCCAAACTTTTGCATCCCACTGTAAACATCGTCGTGAATTCCCTCTTACTTTTGATGTTTTGCTTCCACCACGATAAAAATAAATAAATAAATAAAAATCACACTTCATGCACAGCTCTCTCTCTCCCTCTCAGTGTACTTCAAGAACAGTTCCCATGTCAAATCTCTGTTTTCTGCATTATTCGCTTGCTTATTACCCACCAGTCTATGTACAGCGCTGTCGGACGCTTTTTTTTAAGTCACTTCCGACAAAAAAAAAAGTCTCATTTCTGCTGTTTAATACTGAAGAAATGCAAACTTTTTAAAATTACATGAAATTGCAAAATGATTAGTTGTGTCTCTAATTAAACCTCTGTAACTTTGCTCTGCTTCTCTTCAGCAGCATCAGGTAATGTTACTGCAGAAAATTTTAAGGTGGTTATCTGCTATAAAAAAGCCAGGCCAGGAAAATCTCCATGTTTTTCTGTGTTTTATGCTCAGTTACTTTGACACAAAGACATCTGATGTGATGCATTCACCTTTGATAAAGTCTCGCAAGCGTCAGCTTTCTTTTTATAGATATAAAAATATGGATATGTCCTGATAAATGATCAGAATTATAATATTTCTGACTGTCTGGGGCAAAATTTCCCCGATTCAAATGGAATTGAACCGGGACCTTGTGAATCTGAATCGAATCGATCGTAGAAATAAGCTATAATCACCCCTCCACGCACGGTGGCACTGTCACTTGGTCACTCTCTACGGTAGAGTATCACTTCCTGTTTCAGCACATAGTTGTATTTTTGCGTAGCAATTTAATTAAAAAACTTACAGATAACAGATACAGATAACTTCTTATTTCACGGTGTAATTTCCACGTGCTTATTTAGCAGCACACTCTGTGTATTCACTCGCAAAATAATGTTGACAATATTCACTCACTGGTCTTTAGGGTTTCGCTAGCTTACCTTAGCTCGTAGCCGACTCGTTAGCGGCATGGCCTCTTCACCTGTCTGTTCTTCTGCTCGTTGTGTCAGATGTTTAGTTAATCATCGGCCTCGATACTTGTAATAAATGTAGCCTATCTGCAGCTCTGGAGGCCAGGTTCACTGAATTGGAGACTCGGCTTCGCACCGTTGAAAAACTCGTAGCTAGCCAGGCCCCTGTAACCGTTAAGGCAGAAGGTAGCGTAGGCCCCGCTAGCTGACCCCCGACAGACTGTCCGAGCAGCCGGGGAAGCAGGATGGCTGACGGCAAGGAGGAACCCCTGGTACACCACCAACCTGTTGGTGTCTATGTGTCTAACCGCGTTTTTCACTCCGCACCACACGGGCCGGGGATCAAACTCTCGTTTTCACTGCTTTGCAGATGACACCCAACTTTATCTATCCATGAAGCCAGAGAGCACACACCAATTAGTTAAACTAGTTGGCCCTGAAAATCTTAGAAATATGGTATCTAAACAGATGCTTACACTGGATGGCATTACCTTGGCCTCCAGTATCACTGTGAGGAACCTTTGAGTCATTTTTGACCAGGAAATGTCCTTCAATGCACATATTAAAGAAATAAGTAGGACTGAATCCAAAGTCCTGCTCCTCACATAAAGGTCTTAAACATAGAGGCCCCATCTTAACTTAATTATCACTAGAGCATTTAGCTCTTGTACTGCAGGCTAACCTGTTGCTCCTAGAGTAATAAAAAGTAGAATGGGAGGCAGAGCCTTCAGTTTTCAGGCCCCTCTTCTATGGAACCAGCTTCCAGTTTGGATTCAGGAGACAGACACTATCTCTACTTTTAGTTAAAGTTAGTTAAAGTTTAAAGTTTCCTTTCTGCTAAAGAATATAGTTAGGTGCTGACCCTGAATCCTCCCTTGGTTATGCTGCAATAGGCGTAGGCTGCTGGGGGGCTTCCATGATGCATTGAGTATTTCTTCTTTAGCCACTTTTCTCACTATGTGTTAACAGACCTGCCTGCCTTGAATTATACTTGTTATTACCGTAATCTCTGGCTCTCTTCCACAGCATGTCTTTTATCCAGTCTTCCTACTCTCACGCCAACCAGTCGCGGCCAATGGCCGCCCCTCCCTGAGTCTGGCTCTGACTGAGGTTTCTTCCTGTTAAAAAGGGAGATTTTCCTCCCCACATTTGCCAATGTGCTTGCTCATAGGGGGCCAAATGATTGTTGGGGTTTTCTCTGTATTGTAGGGTCTACCTTACAATCTGAAGTGCCTTGAGGTGTTTGTTGTTGTGATGCGGCACTGTATAAATAAAACTGAATTGAAGTGAACTGAGAATTTAGCATGGGAGTCTATGGGGATTGAAGACAGCTTCAAGAGGCCATTAAAGGAACTGCAGTTTTGTCAGTTTTATGACGTCTTCACTTTTCAAGGGGAAAAGCAGAATTCAATGTCCAATTTTTAAAGTATTTTTAATGCACTGTGAGAGCTTAAGTAGATTTAAATAAATCCATTATTGTATCTTTGCTAAATTTGATGTATTCTAATAAAAGCATGGTGTTGAAATCCCCCCCTTTCGTAAAATTGCCGTAGTTTTATTAAATACATGTTGAAATACAGCCATACAAGCACACAACCTTGAACTATCATATTTGTGAATGACTGAATGTAGTGTAAAGCGCTTTGGGGTCCTTAGAGACTGAGTAAAGCGCTATACAAATGCAGGCCATTTACCATTTACCATTTGTGCCATTCTCTGTAATATTAAGGTAAAAAGAATGAATCACCAAATTCTACATACTTGGTCTGAAATGCTAAGATTAAGATTTTGTCATGTGCCTTTTCTTATTTTGTCCTTCTGGATTTGCATGGCAGGCCTGGTGTGATTGAAACAGTAGCACAGGTGGAGGTTCATTTGCCTGCAATGCAGCACGAGAAGCCAAAAGCAGGTAAAGCCTGAGCAGTGTCTGTCCCCGGCTGCATAGGTTGAGACATTTGCCAAGATGGGAGTAAAGGAAAAGTTAAGTCTGATGCAGATCCCCTCCATTCTTGTGCTCGGCTTTGTTTATGTGGCATATGTGCTGATCGGTGGGGTGGTTTTCTGGAAGTTGGAGGGAGACCTCGGAATGAAGGACGTCAGCTACTTGCGTGAAAAAAAAGAAAGGCTCCTTAGCACATACCCATGTCTCAACCAAGCTGGCCTGGAGGCCGTAGCTCAGGTGAGAAACAAAAATGTGGAAATGAAACAAACTGTTTCTATACATATCTGCAATTTATGATTGCGCGTTTTGATAGACCTTTTCTGCAGCTTTCTCTACCACTGTATTTACATCTTAACCACAACCATAATGATTTTGCATTTTTATATTCCTTTATGGCGACAGTCCACCATTGTGGAACATTGAATACATTGACAGAAGGAACTAATTTATTACAGTTTGCTTTTTGGAACTATCCAGTGATTAGATCTAAATATATGCTTAAACTGGCTTAGTATATATTGATATATGTTGTTTGTGAACTTTGAAAATGTTTCCTACCATAAATTTGTTAATTTACTTCAACACATTTTTATGTTTTTTGTTACAATAATTTGACGGTAATTTGTGGTAATTTTACACTAATCAATACACTGTAACTATACGTAATAATTATATTTTGTTCATGTTTGCTTGTTTGTTTGATTTTTATTTTACTCCTGTATGGATAAAAGTCATTGTTATCTATAGTTAATTGCAATGTTTTACAATTGCTGTCATGGGTAAGGAAAATTGTATAGGTATGATAAAATATTATTAGAGCTATTAAAACGTTTGTACCATCAAACTGAGCACACATTGGTAAAACGCTGCCCCCTGGTGGTGAAAGTTGAATTACCTACATTTTGAAGAGGGTAATTCGAAAAAGTACATTCAAAATAGATGTGCAGGATGTTTATGTGCTCAGTCTTTTATACCTTCAGTAAATTATTTAAGTGACTGGCAACAGTAATGGGTCAAAACAGGTGAAAATGAGCCTGAGTTATAAACATGTTTTCATGTGACAAGGAAAACAAGCTTACATGCAAATAGCAGCTCCTTCAGACATTCCCAGCTGCACTTGCTTTGCCTGTGAATTTGACCAGACTTCATTTATGAAGCTTTACATTCTATACTCAATTCCCCATCAAACTCATAAACTTAATTTAAAGGTAGAAAGTTGTCCTCAAAAATGAATATTATACTGCATGTAAGAGTAGAAATGGTAATCACAATGTAATAAATGGCTGAAACCTTCTGCCTGTTGATGTAAGCTGCTTTGATTTGCATTGTGTCAAAGCAAATGCAGACAGCTTGTAAAGTTGGTTTGTTGATTGTTTTTAGTTGCTAATGTTTTTATTCCATTCTTGCCATATATACATATATATATTGCATTTCATATCTTTTTTTTTTTTTTACTTTATCTTAATTTTAACTTATATTCTTATTGATTTACCTTCTGCTGCTTTCTGTCTGATAGCAAGGTCATTGTGTTTCAATACCTCTTTAACAAGGTGGACCAGTATGCAAAGCAGTTACGTAATTGTGACTCATAAGATCTTATGGGAAATGTTCCTGTCAGGTCAAGAACTAGTGAAAACCAAGATAAAAATGTGGGCATTATTATTTTTATTATAGTTATTACTTCTATTATTGTTAATTTGTTTTTCAGGTTGTTAAAGACACATCAAAGGTGGGCCTGAGTTTGAAAAGCAACTACACGGCAGACGGCTTCTGGAAATTCACCAGCTCAGCTGTGTTTGCTGCCACTGTGGTCACAACTATAGGTCAGCTATGAGGGAAGGGAACAACCATATATATATTTTCTTCCCATTCTCATTTAAATGTTAAATGTTTTTCCTTTATTTTCATGACTATCTCCATTGTAGATTCTCACTGAAGGCTAAAAACTATGAATGAACACATATGGAATTATATAGTAAACAAAAAAGTATGAAAAGATTCAAAACATGTTTGATATTTTAGATTCTTCAAAATGGTTGCCGTTTACTTTGGTTACTGCTTTGCTCACTCTTGGCATTCTCTCAATGAGTTTCATGAGGTAGTCACCTTAAATGCTTTTCCAACAGCCTTGAAAGAGTTTCCAGAGATGCTGAGAACTTCTTGGCCCTCTTGCCTTCACTCTGCAGTTAATTTCATCCCAAACCATCTCAATTGGGTTTAGGTCAGGTGACTGTGATAGCCCTTAAACAGCCCAGAGATGTTTTGGGGTCATTGTCCTGTTTAAAAATGAGTGATGGTCCAACTAAACGCAAACCATATCGGATGGCATGTTGCTCCAGGATGCTGTGGTAGCCATGCTGGTTCAGTGTGCCTTTTATTTTGAATAAATCCCCAACAGTGTTGCCAGCAAACTACCCCCACACCATCACCCCCTCCTCCTCCATGTTTCACCTTTTCTGTGTCGCACAAAGACACGGCGGGTGGAACCAAATATCTCAAATTTGGACTCATCAGACCAAAGCACAGATGTCCACTGGTCTAATGTCTGTTCCTTGTGTTTCTTGGCCCAGACAAATCTCTTCTGCTCTTTACTTTTCCTTAGTAGTGGTTTGTTTGCAGCTATTTGACCATACAGGCCTGTTTTGCACAGTCTTCTTTGAACAGTTGATGTAGAGATGTGTCTGCTACTGGAACTCTATGTGGCATTTATCTGGGCTCTGATCTGAGGTGCTGTTAACTTGTGATTTCTGAGGCTGGTGACTCAGATGAATTTATCCTCAGAGGTGGCTCTTGGTCTTCCTTTCCTGGGGCTAACCTCATGTGAGCCAGTTTCATCGTAGCGCTTATGGTTTTTGCAACTGCAGTTCTTAAAGTAATAATGGACGGTGGTTCCTCTTTACTTACCTTATTGGTTCCTGCCATATGAGTTTTTAATATAATCTATCAGTTTTTATCACTTTTGTCATAATACATAATTCCATCTTGCTTCATATAGTTGATGTCTTCAGTATGTATCTACAGTGTAGAAAGTAGTAAAAATAAAGAAAAGTGAAGGGGTCCTCTTCACCAAAGAAGCAAAAATGTGAAGGAAAGAGACAGTGCTACCAATATCTTGGTAAAATGTCATCCTCTTCCTCCTCACCTCAAGCCTGATCTCCTGAACTAAAGCCAGGGCTCTAATACATGACAGCCTGCTTACATGTGCGCATTCATTCTTGAAATTCTCGCTTATTGTCAGCAGATTTAGCATGTGACTGTCCGATTTCCAGACAGCTGACAAGAAGCCCACTAAACAATAACAACAACTGGTTGCAAGATAATGTTATTCCTGCTAATATTATAGGCACTTTCTCTCTGAGAAACAGATCGATTACATTGTCACATTGTATGAGAGTTTAGTCATGAAGTGTCAGAATACAACAATGTAAGATCTATGTCAAAGATGGCTTCACTGCAGCTAACAGCTTAACAACAGAAAAGTACAGGATATCTGCAATAACTCACCTATTACGATCGGGGCTCAAGAGTTGGGAGTTCGTCTTGTAATCGGAAGGTTGCCGGTTCGAGCCCCGGCTCTGACAGTCTCGGTCGTTGTGTCCTTGGGCAAGACATTTCACCCGTTGCCTACTGGTGGTGGTCAGATGGCCCGGTGGCGCCAGTGTCTGGCAGCCTCGCCTCTGTCAGTGCGCCCCAGGGTGGCTGTGGCTACAATGTAGCTTGCCATCACCAGTGTGTGAATGTGTGTGTGAATGGGTGGATGACTGGTTGTGTAAAGTGCTTTGGGGTCCTTAGGGACTAGGAAAGCGCTATACAAATACAGGCCATTTACTTACCATTTTAGTATCGCTTTCATTGGGCAGACGTTAACTTTACTGACTCATTTTGGACTCCTTTCCCAAACTTTTATAGCCTCTTATCGTGTAACTAGTGGAGCATCTCACCCGGCATTGACAGCTGAGGTAAAAAGTGGCCCGACAACTTAGAGAAAACTCCCGGGCATATCTGGTCTAGAGTCACTTTGTTATCTGAGTGCACTCACTACCAATGAAACCTAAAATACCAAAAAAATATTTAAAATATTTGACTGTATTAGTTTGTGTAAGTGTTATTTAAATATGTTCAAATATAGTGTGCACAAAAAATGTTGTTTTGGTTTTTTTTTAAACAAAGATAGCAGTAGAAACATGCCTTTATGAGGTACAGTAGCCCCCTGCACTTGCGATATGACTGCGATCTACAGACATCTAATTGTGATATTTTGAACACTATAACTTTAAAGGTTTGCTTTAAACAATGCAGTACACCCCTCCATAGTACCATTCTCCTTCCACCACAGTAACAGTTTAAAGTTTTTCAGGTTATGGGAACATATGTCCCAGCACTACAGGTGGCCAGATCTTCTGCGTGTTCTTTGCGCTCTTCGGTATACCACTCAACATTGTGGTTCTCAACAGAGTGGGCAAGTACATCCTAGCCATAGAGAGGAACATCTCAGACTTCTTCGAGAAAAAGACTAGTCGAAAAGTAAGGATGTCCTGATTTTAGATAAACCTTTTGAAAAGGAGCGATTATTCTGTAGAGGATGACTAACACTGCTTCTCTTTCCCATGTCTTGCTGCAGACATGTACCCGCTTTTTCATCCACTTTGTATGTTACATCTGCGGAGCGGTTCTTTTCTTCATCATGCCCATGATTGTGTTCAAGCAGCAAGAGGACTGGACACATGCAGAGGCCATCTACTACTGCTTCATCAGCCTCAGCACCATCGGCTTTGGAGATTTTGTGGCAGGTAAAGCAGAATTGTGTTTTTTGTTTAGAACAGACGTGACACCAATCGAGTCAAGAAACAGCATGAAAAAAGAAGTGCTGTGGTGTAGATGAGTACTAAAACAGCTTGCACTTGAGCAGCAGCTCCAGGCAGACTAAGGGAGCTTAAATAGCAGTCCTACGTAAGACTTGTCACCATTTGCTCGGTTTCTGCAAGATAGAATTGCCTGTAAAAATGGAAAGTCATACCTGATTTCGCAATTTAAGGTCTCATATTTAGTGTGAAATTTGTATGCACCTCTTGGCGTCTTCCGGTCCTATTTTAACACATTGACATTGATGGTAAAATCATAGGCAAACGTGTGCAGAGGGTAAATATTAACTTTAGAGTCAGAGTGGCCTGACTTTAAAATCATTCAGCACTGCTGATCAACACTGGGTCTCTAACATCCGCCTATAATTTTAACAAAACTGTTACTCCATAATTTTTATCAACATTCACAGATATCATTTCATTAATTCTGTACTTGTATATTCAGAATTCTTGTTGGCAAGGAACCAGATCTTTGGTACTTGGAGCTTCTGGGTTCCTGTTTGCAGTCCGTGTTTTACTGACTAATCTGTTTAAGCCTGTTTGAGCAGGCTTTGTTTGTGCACAGATAAAAATGGAATGGATAACCAGTAAAATATCTTTATACTTTCCAGTTCTAAAAAAATGTCATCTGCATTCGCTGTCCAGAACAGGAAGTCTCGAACTCATTCATTGGCTAAATCAGTCACTCTAAGAAATTACCAATACAAAGTGGATGACAGATAATACGTATAGTATATGTATTAATAGTGAACTGTAACCCAAATACTATTAGGATGATGTGGGACAACATCAACACGGGGATATGAGACACACCAACATCCCAGTGTTGGTGTTGTTCCTATATCAACATAATAATTATGGGCCAGGATCAATATTGCAACTGACCACTTCAACTATCATTTGCTAAGGAGTTAGCTAATGCTTTTAAAAACTATCACTATAAAGCCAACTTGAATACTCTAAATTTTCCCTTTTAACGGGAAGAGAAACAACAGAAATGTACTGGCATGCCCTAGTAGTGTATAAACACATTGGAAATGAAAACAAGTGAGAGAAGAAGAACTCTGTGAATCCCATTAAGTCATGCATCAGTCTGAGCCTATAAAAGAATAGTTGACGGATGGTTTAGGGCTCTAACTGTAAGGTTTATTGAAAAAAAAAATCTGAGTTTAATATTAAAGCTGAGTAGAGTTTCTGGATCCAAACTTAATACACAGGAGAAGAGTCTGATAGGTGAAAGCTCTGGGTCCCATTTTACGTTTAGAAACTTGAGCACGCTTTGCTCACCTTTCACCCTGCTTATCAAATTTGCATCTATGCAAGTTGATTCTCTTCTCTGGAATCCAGGGACATCGTTTAGGAGGAAGTTAGAAGAGGACTTCTAAGAAGTGATTTAGGAAAAGTGGTTCAGTGGTGCACAGTGAGAAAACCTTGAAAAAGTATAAGCCACGTTTTAGAAATGATCGCATTCTGATCACATCTGTTTTGTATACTCGACTCAAACTGAATTTTATCTTGTAAAATCCCCAAATCCTTTCTTCTTTCCAGATAGCAATCCAGACAAATATTACCCAAATTGGTACAGCTTCATCATAGCCTCGTGGATCTTCTTTGGCATGGCCTGGCTGGCGCTGGTTATCAACCACTCAATCGAAATCCTGGAGCGGCTCAACAACTACTTTAAAAAGCAGTTCAAAAAGAATGATAATCAACAGGGGGATGAGGCAGGCGGTACAGCTGATAAAAACCCAGAGACACAGATGGAGGAGGAAGACGAGATCACCCAGCCTCCAGTTACTGAGTCCACCTAGTTATAGAGTTACCTACATCTGTTTGTGGTGATTTGATACGTGCCTGAGTTATTGTTTGTCAGTTTTAGACATTTTCTCCGTAACTGCCACTAAACTATTGGCTCATTTTTGTTGAGTCAGGTTTATGTGACAGCAGCATTCACGCACTGTTTAAGTGCCTCTTGTTAATCTAAAACCCTTTAGATTAAGGTTTAGAGAAGGACTCAGCACTTCTGTCCGTCTGTGGTCTAGTAGACAGGACAGTCAGCCTGTTTCCTATACTTAATTAGCTGACCACAAGTCATTTACCGACTCCGTGGCACCAGCTTGGCTGTAGTCAAAGCCACAGTCTTTTAAAATGATCTACTTTGCATGGTATAGGGACTCCGTGGCCCACAGAGGCCTGGGGATTATTATTATTCAGCATATTTTAAGAGGTGGTGGAATTTCCTAGGTTATAAAATACAGTGAAGTAAATTAACTGGCCTTACAGAAGAGCAAGAGAAGGAAAATTTATTTCATTTGTCAAGGTGTAAAAAGTTTTTGTCTTAAGTATTGTTTTAACACTTCCAAACCAAATTAAAAATATTTATTAAAACGGACCTGCTCTGCTTTTCCTTATTGTCTGCCAGACTGCTCTAACTGCTGAGGTTCACAGTTATTCTACTCTTAGAACAGAAGTCCCTCCAACAACCGCCTCATAATGCATTCAGACAAGTGATCGATGCTGTTAATTACAATAAAATCCTTTTTGTTTGTTTGTTAGTTTTTTGCAGCTGCAGTCAATTTCTATACTGTGGAATTAAGAGGAAGTAAGAGTTACCATCGGTTTTAACAGCTGCCTGGATGGTCAAAGGCAATATAAAAATACAAACAGAACAATGTAACAAAAAGCTTTAGCTTCTTTAGATCCTTAATGTGTTTATTTACTGAGGGAGAGAGATGGGAAAGTTGCATTTAAATAAAATATAATCTTCCTTACTGTTAAATGCAAAACCTGCAACGGGCATGGTTCGTTGCATGAATTTAGTTTTAGATATGTCACATTTCAGTCTACCTCTTGGGATCTGGGCAAGGTTCAGATAGTCAGTCTTAGGAAGTTTCCTCACTGAGTTTAATTTACCCTGAAATATCAGCAGGAATAATTAAAGCTGGACAGATTCATCCATTCCATAGGTGAATAAAACTGATTTACTTTATTCAATTCTGTAAATTAAGATTGCTAATCAGAGTAAAATTAAGGGTCACCATGATTTAGTTTGCATTAGTTACAGACATGAGTAACTTTAGACTTCACTAACAGGAGTCCTTTGTGAAAGCAGGAGTTGCTTTGGATAACCTTTCCATTAGGAACATGAATGGACAACATGAGCAGCTATTCAGAAAAATTATTCCTTTTTCTGTAAAGTTGCAACCTTAATTATGAAATGTTTGTAGGACCTGCATGAAACAGCACGGTAAGGTTTTTTAGTCCATCTTCAAGGTATTGTAGTTTCACCACAGCGGACATATGTCAGTATAATTTAGGAAATTTGTGAAAGTACTGTCAGATTCTCTGAACTTCTTCATAAATGCTCCTTCACATCTTGTTTTCACTTCATTTTAAATGGAAATAAAAGTGATTAGAAAGACGAAACATGAGTATGGGTGCAAGTCACATCTATGTCTATGTCCACTAGGTGGCGCCGCTGTACCAATAGTGTACAAACTGGCTGTTAAAAACAGAAGCAAAGCAACAAATACAAAGTGCGGAGGGAAATTACTGTCAAATTAAAGGCAAACAAACCAAAACACATTGGTTTCCTCACTTCCTTTCATGCTTTCTATGCTGCCATAGCACAGCATACAGTATCGGTCAGTATCCTAATGTTCACATACAAAGTCAGCACTGAGGAGGAGACAATGAGAAAGACAGATGGTGGAGAGGAAAACTGAATGCGTGGAAAAGTGTTGGCATTAAAGGTGAAGGATGGAGGTGATGGAAAAAGGATAAATATCTGAGGGAAAGTGAGAAAACCCCCAGAGGGAGAGGAGGCAGTGATGTTGTTTTTTTTCTGCAAGGAAAAATCAAAAATAGTTTGGCCCCAAACTTGGAGCCAGAGTTATGACAGCTTCATGTTAGATCATCAGTTTTTATTTTTAGTGTTTATCATACAGTTGAGATTAGTTTAAGTTCATTTCCAGAGTGAGTTTTTGTCCCCAGTCCTACTTCTTTCTTCCCATTGCTGGTCCTGGTGCCTTTTGAAATTCAGCCCACATATGTTCGCATCTGAGAACCAGTTGTTATGTAATGTTATTATCAGATGGTATCACTTTATGGTCAGGTTTATGTTGTAATTGCATTTATTCATGTAAGGAAAAACACAAAATCCAGCATGAGCTCAGATAAAATGGAGAAAAGTCTCAGGGGTTCTGTGTTGCCTAGTTACACAGATGAAGACACGATCTACTCTTCTTCCTGTTATCTTGGTGTGGTTCACGTTCGTGTGTCACCTGGTCACTGTAGTGAAAATTTCAAACAGTGTTTTTGAGATTATTTTTTTTAGGAATTATACACATCTCAGTGATGTTACTAGCAGAATAAGAACAAAATCAGATGCCCACAAACTACTTGATTTACAGACTAACAGCTTGCAATTCATCTGTCAGCTAGGGTCAGCTAACATTGGCCAGAATGTTGGCTATATGTGTAGCCAACATATGAGACAAACAAACAAAATATGAGACCTATTTTTCCCTGACACAAACCCTCTGCTTTGGTTAAACAGTAAATGTGACATCAAACTTCGGGTTTGTGCAGATTTTATATATGACTGAGATTTTACTGTTATGTAAATACTGTATTATGTGCTTCAGTGTAAGTGATTAAATCTTATAAATCATTTGCTTATATTGCTTCCTACAGCACAAACAAGGCTGCAGGCTGCAAAAACCAGGTGACACTGTTATTATAACCGACAGCAATGTGAACCTGAATATTTCTCAATGGGATACACTGCTGCTAAGTTTTGACTTCTTTATTAAACGTGCAGAGGAATGTCACAAACCTGCAGACGTTTTAATATCCACTTAAGGCTGGCTCCAAAAGTGAGTCAGTTTCCATAGACTCCCATGTTAACACATCCAACTTTCAGCAGAATTGGATTGGTACCCATACAACACCTTGCTACTCATTTGAGCACTCAAAGTGCTTTCTTACTACAAGTCTCTTTCACCCAGTCTCCCACACACATTCATGCAACACTTTTATCTATTTCTAAGCACTTTCACACACGCTCAGGCTATGATCCTGAAAAACAATCAATCCCACTAGTGGAAGTTAAAGTTGGCTCTATTTAGTTTCCATTTACCTTTTATTGTTTGAAACTATCCAATTTCAGTTTTGTTTACTAGTTTATGTCTTAGTTTTATTTTTTATGTTAAATTTCTTTTGAATAGAATAAATAATTTCTTGACACGAAAGCAGGCTGAGGGGTGGATGCATACATGGGCAGCTGTAGCTCAGGAGGTATCCACGTCTAACAGCCTGAAGGTCAGTGGGCCAATCCCTGCACCCTTAAAGCTGCTTATCAAAGTATCTTTGGACAAGATGCTGAACCGCGAGTTAAAATTGCTTATGCATAAATGAAAGCACATGTAGGTAAATTATCACAAGTAGCAGTCCATTACCATCCTGCATTCATGTAGTGAGCTCATTCATATGTCATTATAGGTCAAATATAATAGAAAATAAAAAACAATCTCTAGTTTAACATGTCGAAAATGTTTAAAAATGACTTTTATGAAATTATTTTAACAAGGAATCGTGGCTGTAACGCCAGCCTTGGATCAAAGCGTAGGTAAAAATGTTATTTAAAATATTAGCATATGAACATTTAAAATATTTAATGTTTAAGTGCTATAACCCAAAATGTACTTTTTGAAGCTTTCACCAAGTGAATTATCAGAAAACAGTCAAAACATCCAGTACTTGTTTTTATTACTGTACATCATAAACATTAAACTGATTCAGTTTTGCTTTTGAAATTATTGTAATCTCATTATATCAATGACAAGATTTGATTTTGGATTTAGATTGCAATGAGCTATGCGAGTGGCGCTTTTGGTGGAATTTTTTAACAGAGCTTAAATATCGTTTTTGGCCCTAAAAATTTCAGGCAACATCTACATAGCAGCTGGAGAAATACGGCAATAAAAAGTGTCAAATTTTACCTAATAGCCATGGCCTCATTGACTAGGATTAGGATTCAACTTTATTGTCATTACACATGTATGAATATAGGGTAACGAAATACAGTTTATACAGTGAAATTCCAAAAAGACACTCTGCTTATTCTGATTGGCTCAGATGGGAAGCACTTCCTGATTTTCTATCAGACGATCCAGCTAGCAGTGGGAGAAAACCTGAGAAATTAAGGTGAATATAACTGCAATGAGAATCACTTTAGGGCTTGTTGTCTATATGACTATGGGTAGTCATATTTTGTTGAGTCATTCACAGATAAAGTATTCTGTGCCCTGAATCTTTTGTAGAACACTAAAAGTGTGGTAATTATTAATAGCTGATACTTAGTGTTAGTTATAGTAGCTGGCTGCAGTATCATTTACCTTTGTTGTGTTGTGCGGACCACATGTCTGCATGTGACCAAAGATGACGGGATTATTGACCTATCTCCTGATGTTATCAGTTATTCTTTCTCCCTGTAGCAAAAACAGATGCTAAAGACAACTTTACTAAACAGCTTTTTGTGACATAGCTGTCTATGTTGTTACACTTATAACAGAAACACAGGAATTCATGGTTATAATTAGGCTAAATGAAGTGATAAAAGCCTGGAGAAGAAAAAAAAGACATTTCACCTTTTATTTTTCATTTGTAACAGCCCATCTGTGTCGCCCAGACCCTACGTGCTACTTTTATTTTTATGCAGGAGTGCTACTTCAGCTTGCTTAATGCCATGTTAGTTTTCAGGTTCCAGTTGATGTCATAATATATATGTATGGAGGACCAAAACAGCCAAAATCATATAACGGATAAAAATTTCCCTGACACAAATAAATATGCCAAATAAATGTACATAAAAAATAAATTGACTTTTTTTTTTTAGATATTTAATCATTTCTGAAATATGACATTTGGTCATCTTGATCAAAATCATTTAAATGCTTCTTATTTGCTTTTTCCCCCCCAGTTTATTTCTCTTATTTATTTATTTATTTATTTATTTATTTATTTATTTATTTATTTATTCATTTATTTATACATACATATACATGCAGTTAACCTGTTTATTTCTTTATTTCTTTCTACATTTGATTCTTAATTAACTATGTAAATAAGAGGAATGTCATTCAAAGATGGCCATTCAGTAAACTTAATGAATGCCCACAATTATTTTAGCATAATTTGCAGTGGAGTTAATAGTTTTCATTTCTTTATTAGTTTTGATTTCGACACTTTCAGCCTTCCATAACAGAACGGGTATTTTTTCCACAGTACTGTCTGCTGCCCAGTACTTCTCTTTAGGTGGTAGGCCATTGGAGGTTAGTTGTGGTTTGGTCAAAGAAAGGGAAAATTTTTGTGCATGAACAAACAGATCACATTTCGGGACTATTTTGTGATTTTCCATGAGACCGGGGTGATTCATTATGCAGATTTGCTCTCAGTGCTCCTGTGTGTGACCTGCTCGATGTTCTCTTTGGCCTTTTCTGGCACCTCA